TCTTTAAAAAATTAGTCACGTTTTAAGATTAATCAAGCGAGTTGAAATGAAATGACTATGACGGGTGCAGCAACTTGAAAAGATATATTGAGTCTAGTAAGCGACAAGTTCACTACTTGGAAGGTAATATTAAGTTGAATTCCAACGATTTGATTAATGAGTACATAGAAACATTGATATTATGTTTCAAATCAAATAAATAATATTCACATCAGTATGATGATACCAAATTATTTATTCATGCAAATAACTTAATTTATGAGAATAAAGTGTCAAATGGATTAGATTCAAGTAACTATACTTAACAAGTCTATCACATATACATAGGCATGAAAGAAAGAAGAATACTTAGCAAATATCAAGTTGCTAAAAGCAGTGATAAAATTTATTAATGAAATTTTTTTTTTCAATGTTAAAGTTCGTTGTGTAAACATCTCATATGATGTTACGATAAAGCATTTTTTTTTTTTTATGTAATTATCGTATATTAAAATCGTATATTAAAAATAAACTCGAATCAATATTTTTGACTGCAACAACTATGATACCTATTTATTTTCAAAGAATCTGAACAAGGTGATAACACTATACCTGATAACAGTAGATTATACGAGGGAAGACGACTCGGAAGCGTCTCAATGTCCGCGATCCGTGTACGCCTCCTCGACAAATCGATTCTGACAAAAACTAGGCGGTCCTGCAGGCCGAGTGGCGCTCAACCCACTTTTTCCACGCGCGAGAAACCCGCACGGAAATCAACGACGAATCCGCCTTTCGTTCAGCCATCGTTTACACTGGTCCCCTCGACTTTTATTCTCGACCTTCCGTGATCATCGACTTCTTCTTATCTTTGCGAATTTCAATGTAAAGGAAAAAAAAGTGAACAATACGATACGAGGAGAAAGTTAAGAGAATAATAAGGAAAATAATATAAAAATGAAGAAAGGGGAAAATATGAAAGGAAGATGAAAAATTTAAAGGAGAAGGTAGAAAGAATAAAATGTCGAATGCAGAGAAGACAATAGAAAGAAGAAAAATGTGAAGAGAAGAATGGAAAAAAGGACGCGTGAGCATTGAGAAGAAATCAAAGGGTGAGGAAGACGATGAAAAAGAGAGGAATGAAAGAGAAGGCTGTACAGATGGCGCGAAAGTAGAGGATGATACAGATGGCGTAAAAGAGAAATATGACAAAGGATAAAAATAAAAGACAAAATAAAAAAAAGAGATAAAGGAGATGATGATAAAAAAAAGAGAATGAAAAAAGTGTGATAAAGAAGGTAGAAAAACAAGAATGGCAGCACATAAATGGAAAAAAAGGAGTGATAAAAGAGAGAATAATGGTGAGACTGGATTAGAGGTGAAAGAGAAAAATTAGCTTAAACTTTTATTTTAAAACATTCACTAGTCAGTCACTTTATTTATAAAATTAAAATTATTTTCTTTTTCTATATTTCCATTTTAATATATTATTATACTTATCAAAATAATTACTGGCTTCGTTATTATCTTATATTTCAAGAATTTTTAATAATAATATTATGTTTTTTAATAATATTATGAAATGTAATTTAATTTGCTAAAAAAAATATTTAAAATTATCTTATTTTTGCTAAAATAATTATGGTATTTGTAATTAAAAGATTATTTTTTATTAAATTCCTAATTCCTAAAATCCTAATTTAAAATTCCTATTCAAATATTCTTATATTATATTTATTATTATATCCATAATTTTTATAATTATATCTATATAGATATTATATTATAGATATATCAATTTAAATAATCCTACTATTTTTATTAAAATGATTTTATTGAATTTTATATATTCATAACCATTATATAATTATTATAATCATTTTCAATTTCCGAATCTATTTTTATTAATATTATCAATTTTACCAATTTTATTCATATATTAATATTTAACATTCTACTATTTTCACTCAATATTCAAGTTTCAAGGACTTATTTGCCAACGTTGCAAAGTATAAAATTTATTTTGAATATTCATGTAAAAAATTTGTATTTCTTATGAGATAAAACGAATTTGTATATTGATTTTATTGAATTTTAATTTTAATCGTGATATTTCAGATAGATAAGAATATAACCATATTGCATCTCTAATAATCGAGAAACAGCGTTATTTGCATATTCTTACGCACACAGCAATCATTAACGCAACAAAGTGATAAGTTTACTTTTCATGACTTGCAGCAATTCGTAGAAACTGGAATTGCAACGAGTCAACATTTTCTCTTTTCCCGCTTTCTTTTTTCTTCTCTTTTCTTCCATCACACGAAAATGGATGAAATATCTTTTTTTTTTTTTTTGCAATCTTCGCGTTATGAGATAAATAACATGTAGTCGAAACATGACAAACGTAGAATCGATTTCTAATATCGGTCCAAGAAAGGGTGGTAGGAAGGGCAAAAGGGGAGGAAATTTATGAACGACGTCGATTTCAGGCGAAATGTCTCGCCTTCGAGCACCTTCAACGGTCCAATAAATATTCCCGATCCTATAAATTTAAATAAACGATGGGAATTCGTATGTGGGTAAAAATTGAACGATCTGATGGAGAGAAAATTCAATTTTTCTTGGTAGATTACCTATATATATATATATATATATATATTTTTTTAATATTGCATTTTTTTTTAAATTTTGAAACGATTAAAAAAAATCAATATATTATAGAATCATTACAATTATACTAATCTATACAATCTATACAATTATACTAATTAGATAAAATTTATCTAACTATATTTATTATTGTGTGCAGAAATAATATAAAGATGGTTTTTAATGTTCTATATTATTCTTAAATTCATTAGCACACAGATAAAATTTCACTTTTGTTTATGTTATTTTAATCATATTAATTATTTAAAGAAAATATTAATATTTAATTTTAATATTTAATTAAAAATAATTGGAACATGAAATACATATATTAGTAAGTTATTCTAAATTTTTGAAAATTTAGAATATTGAAAAAATTAAGAATAATAAAAAAAAACGAATATTATTTGTCTTATATAGTATTAAAAAATATTACTATAAAATATTAAAAATAGTAAATTTTTTTACAAATTCATCGATATCTAATAATTAAAATTAAAAAACAACACTGATTCATCTGTATCTTTGTAGTAATTGAAAAAATGTAAAATCTGAAATCTGTAAATTTTAATCTCAAATTTATTGATGAGTTTACCAACTTTAACGTTAAGAAGAAAAAAATAAGTAACAAAAAAACATGATAACGTAGAAGATGTATGATGTTTTGAAGGAAAACAACGAATCGAAAATCTGTTGCTCGGAACGGTACACGTCACTGACGCGACACAGTCGCACGGACAACCGTTACTCCTTATTTGCTTAATGAATTAAGGACGCCATGAAAAATGGCGTCTAATCGCTTCTGGATTCTCTCATGATTCTGCATACCATGTTATATAAGTGGCTATCAATTTTCATAGATAGGCAAAGCCGCGTACATTGACGCCAATTCGAGCACTTTTCAAAAAAATCGCACGACTTCACATCACTAAGCTGATCAATACAATACCCAATTAAATATCGCTCTAACAGTATTCTAAATTTCCGTATACGTAAAATCCAAACGAAAATTGTCACGTCAAACGAAACTATTTTCAACGAGAAATGAAATAATATTCGAAACCGATTACTACTCGAGTCAGTTGCACGATTGTACTGTATATACATATATGTACCGTATATCAAGTGACTAAAGTTACGGAATTTCCTGACGTTTCAATATTCATTTTCCTTGATGCCCGTCATAATGGATGTTATCACGGACACAGATTATCATAATTTGATCGCTTTTACGATCATGAGCGGAAGAATCGTAATAATTTCACGCGTGACTAATTGCATTTCCATGCACCATGAGACTGGAATCCGTTTCAATGGTGAGAGATCGGGCTTCCGTGAGAGCTCGAATTTCGAAATCGGAACTGTTCCCGATGAAATGTTCATATTACCAATTTCAAGGCGGTCCGAGTACACACATACATGGTTTTCATTTTCAACGAGCGACTAAAGCGGAGAGGTGGCTCCGCTGTGTGGAAATGTACACGTATTATGTACATGTATACATACACACACAAACACACATACACACACACACACACACACACACACACATACACACACGTAGCGATCTCACGGGCGAGCGTGACACGTCGAGAAATCTATGGCTTCGAGAGAGGACGGTAGGAAGACGGACGGAAATAGGAAATGCGTCGGTCGAACGATCGGAAACCCTTTTCGTCGGACTTTCAACGTTTCCGTCGGCAACAGCCACCATGTTAGCGTTGCCTTGAGCTGCCTTTATTGCGCAGCGACCACGTCGAAAAAACTGCCCCGCTTAAACGCATTCGTTATCTTTTGCGAATGAGGGAAAAAAATACAAGCCGGGTACACATGAAGAGATGGGTACTTACGGTGAAAAATCCACATCTGCAATTGTACATTATCGAGCGAAGAGCAACGGTCTCGTTACGCTACCGACTTTCGTTCACCCGCGAATAAATTCTTACTGCTGGATATTCCTTCGAATCAATAACGAGGATTTCTCGCGATGGAAATATAAGTCATTTTATTTATAAATGTATATTTTATGCTAAAATATAAGTGGTGAGATAGCCTCAAAATATTTACATCAAATGAAATATGAATCTTTGTATGAAACAAAATGAAAAAAAAAAGGGATAATTTAATTCATCCTTATATCAAATTCTTAATATGAAAAGAAGATAGTACATGAAGAAGAAATGATTGTGATAGGAAATCACGATTTCGACCCATTTCCGGACCGACCTTCGTACCATCTGCGGTACATAAACAAGCACGGAGAGACTATCGGTAATGGGTATGTAGAACTAATCAACGAAGTCACCGTGATTTCGCGGTTAATTAAAAGCGATGTTTGAAAACATTCATAGACAAAAAATTATACTTACAGCATCTCCTTGGTGGCCGAGCTTGCGAAGCACATCGCGGTGGCGGCGGCACAGCAGTCACGGTCACAGTCACGTAAGCCTCGACAACGGCTTCGACGAACACAAGCAAAGAAACACTCATCACTGTCACCAGGCTGCCCTTATTTTGGCAGTGGATTGTAATAAAAGTCCGAAAAAAGAGTCCAGGAGCACCATGCGTTCGAATTATGGAATCAAAAAAAGAAACCAATGAATTCTCGCCGTCTCTGTCCCGCCTGTTTCGTCCTTTAATCTGCGAGAACTCAAGAACACCAATGATCCGTCACGAATAATTACGGCACTCGAATTTTCTCACTTGGAAGAAATCGCGGCACAGATTCAGCAGAAAAGTCACTATCATGTAAGCACAGCTAAGAAAGAGCAACGCGCTCCTGGCTCCTATGAATTTAACCTAGCTTAGTAGTGATTCGGTGCAGTCGAGTTTCTTGACTGAACGACCGATGCTTGCCGAGCCGTGCCCCACGAGACGACACTGCTGCCAACTGTTCCCGCGGCAGTACAGAAAGTTTCTATGCCGATAATAAAGGCGTTCCGAGACTGTCCTCTTTTAAAAATTCAGAATTTGTTTCTGGAATTAAATAAATAAATTTATAAATGTTAAAAAATATGAAATTTTTATTTGGAATAAAATTGTCATTTCAAAGATTTCGTTTAAAAAATTTCGTAAATTTTATAATTAAACTATCAAAATCTATTATGTATATATGATATAAAGATTGAATATATATTTATTGAATAGAATATATATTAGAATAAAAAGCATTATAGAATTAATGTATATGTATTTATTAAAATTATTATTGAAAAATATTTTTATTTATATAAATAATATTAATTATAATAATGAAATATTTAAACAATATAAGACTCTTAAACGTGATAAATATTATAATTAAATGAAAATATTTAATTCAATTTTATATGAGAATGCAGTAAAATTTCTCTTTTTTTATTTTTTCCATTATTTCATGATTATTGACCACCAACTTATAACTTAATTAATTCTAATAATATTTCATGCTAATAGATTGTGATATAAATAAATAAATAAATAAATAATATATTTCTATATAAATAAATATATATTTCTATTGTTATACTATAGATTTTTGTTGATAAAATAATATTAATAATCAATTTTATTTATTTTTAATTTTTATTTTATTATTATTGTTGTTATTTTTAATCTATTTTTTGTCGACTATTATTTTAAAATAATTATTAAATAATATTATATCAATTAAGCAATAACGAATTTTATAAAATACTTTAAATAATTATTATTTTATTATATTTATACTTATGTTTTTTTTTTAATTGAATAAAACATTAAATTTTATTATATTTTCAGCTAATATAATTAAATGAAATATTTTAATTATTGTAATATTAAGTGGGACAAACTAGAGAAATGTGACATCTTTGAGAAATGTATAACGATCTAGTACCGGTATTAGGAAGAAGGTCACTCTCACGTCTAATGCTTTTATTTGTAGAAGGAAAAATAGTATTTTAATATAAAGATTTTAATGTAAAGAATCTTATATAAATCTATATAATTAAAAAATTTATGATAAATCTAGTTTACAAATTAAATTACGAATTACGCTAATGAATTATTCCTAACTTGTCAATGTCGTTTCATTTAAGAAATGTAATTACTTTATATACAAAAAAAATAATTAATTTACCATTATTCTCTTTAATTTTTAATTGTATAAAAAAATTTCCTTCCATTATAAAATGAATACTCCCGGCAAGTTTAGAAATCTTTTTGCAATTAGAATATTTTTCGATCATATGTTGGCAATGATCAGTTCGTACATTGGTCACCCGCCGAAGTGGCGAGTTCTGATTGGTCGGTTTGCTATTTGATTTAATGGCGTGGCAATTACCGCCGGCGTGGAAGGGGAACTAGATTCACAACGTTTAACTGTATTGTCGAGAGCTTGGTTTTTCGTCCTAACCTGTCGGTGTTACTTCGTCCGGATCGTAACATCGATTTTAGCCGAGGAACAGTAGAGTTTATCGACGAGCACGTCGTATTTACAGTTGTCGATCACGTCTGGTGAACCGTCTGGTTCGCGTTGTAGCGATTTTTATTCGTGATTGGCCATTGCTCGCAGGACAACGCTTGAGAAGACGCGACGATGATGGAAAGCTGAGAATTACGGTTTTCATATCGTGCACGAGGTAGGAACAGATTTCGATGCGTAATTTAACGACTATATAGTGTTGTTTCGCATGAAAATTTGAAATTGGATTAATGTCAATTGTGATTGCTTCTGAGAATCGAATATGCTTTGTGAAGTGTCCACCTGTGAAAAAGAACGATATGAAATTGTGACGAAGATACAGATTTATAAATTAAAATATTTACCAGTTTTGAAGAAGATTTGTGGACAAGAAAACAATTTGCAAAATTAAATATCGATAGCAATCTACATATCGTGTTAATGAATTTGATTATAAAACGATTAATTCGTATGTTTTTCAATGATGAAATTTGGAAAATTTTGCATATAAATAAGTATTGCATTAAGAAAAACGTTGTATAAAAATATATATTGTATGTAGTAATTAATCTTTTGAATGTAAAAGAATTTGTGTATCCTGATAAGTGTATTTTTTCAATGTGACAAGTATAATGTATGTACATAAAGAAGATTATTGCTAAAAAAGTGTGCAATCAATTGTATATATTATTTGATAAAAAAAATATTATTCAAAAAGTAAATTTATATACTGTGTTGTTCGTAAGATTTTTTTTTTTTTTTTTACATTACAATTAATTATGGGATGAACTTTTAAACAGTGTTAAAAATCATGTAATAAAATTTTTTATTTAAATCATTCATATAAATTCCATTATTATAATGTGTACAATAATCTAGTATAATAATTTAATTCGAATTTTGTGGTTTGTGAAGTTGACATACTTTTATTTAGTGCATAAGTAATGAAGATTCAACATACATAAATATACATATAGGAGGATAAATAAACGCGGAGCAATCTGCAGCTGGTCAGTAAAATTAACGATGTATTTAAATGCAATAAATTGCAAGATTAATAAATAAATATATATATATATATATATATATATAATATAAATACTTGAATTTTGATCTTGAAAATTGCGGTTGATTGATTTTTTTTGAATAAATAATTCTAATTTCTTAATTAATAAAAATTATATGAAAGTGTATCTATAAATTAAAAAAAAAATCGGGAAATTAATTCATTAAATCTGTGTAATATTACGATACATTTCTATTAATTTTTTCCGTATTGGAAAGTGTTATAGAATTACGAAAGCCATTTTCTATAGAGTCTAATAAAATATTAATTTTGTTATAATATTTAAGCTCTGAATATGTTTTCAACTGTACAGTGAGTGTAAAAAACATCCTTACAATGAATAATTCAAAGGAAATTTTGCATAATTTGGTTTTTTAATAAAAATTTATTAATTACAATTCATAAATATACATATTCATAATTATAAGTATTTCGTATTGCAGCTTCATATTGGTAATCGAAATGAAACTTGGTGAGTTTTATGGGAATAAAATTCGAAATATGCATCTTTAGAAATTTAAATTATGCATTGTAAAATAAAATATACATTTTTTTATCTCATTCATAAAAAATTTTCAGAATATTTCTCTAGATAATTGAATTGTAATTCTTATCATGTATCAATTGTACAAACATGTAGATTATATTACTAAATTATTCTTAATAAGATTTGTTGCATTTTAATGATCTTGAAAAAAAATAAAAAAAATTAGTTTACATAATATATTCAATTGCTTCGCGAATATTAGTTGAGTATTAGTTTAAGTTGAGATTATATGTAGTAAATAATTATTATCTGTATAATTCGTGAATTTGTGATTTTATATTTCAAATGTATATCCATTTTCTAGATACAAAGTTTCACTTCGGTCGGCCATCGATGTCTTTCGAAACACATTGAATAAATTCGATAAAAAAGAAATCATAATAGAATAAAAAATGAATGCTTTCATAAAAAATTCCTAAGAATGACTCTCTAAGATAAATTATTTGAAATATCAATATTTATAAAATTACGCTCACTGTATTTTGTTAAAAATTTCATTTCATCATTTTAAAATTTGATCATCGATCTTTTACATTTCTAGATATAGAATTATAATAACACAATTTACATTCTTATAATTTTATTTCAAATTTTCTTTATATATATATATATATATATATATATATATATATTTACGATTTTTTCATATAATAAATTAACTCATATGTTTCTTAATTATTTGTCAAATTTACAACGTTGCGAGAAAGGTGTTCGAAAAAGATGTGTATATACTCTCGCGCAGTACCATTCACTGAAAACCGGTTTCAATAACAGCCTTCTAGAATTTTATCGAAACGACGATAAAATTATTTCATTTATAATTTTTACGTGACGCGTAAATGTTTTATAACCGCGGTTAAAGATCCAGCTGGTTTATGAATGTGACGTATGTCATTGGGTAAATAAAACGTAAATAAATACACTTTCCTGTTCGAATCAAAAACGAGTTATAATTTATCGAAATTATTTACATCCCGTCGTATCGATTCTAAAAAAATATCATTAATAGATACGTTCTAACTTCAGTTGTAATAGTTTTAAAATAATTTCAAACATAGATAACATATATGTGCACATGTATACACATACGTGAAACAGGATCTTCCGCGCGTGCTCGAAAGTGTCAGTGAACTCGGAATTCAGCCGCTAGGTAGCCTGTACACCCTACTGCATTTTCACCATATATGTTTATATACATGCGTGCATATATGTATATAGAGTATCATATCAGGCCACACATCCTCAATAATTCGCGCGGCCAGCAAGGACGAACAAACTACTGGATAGATGTCATGCGAGACGGATGTAATTTCCGTTCACGCAGAGCCGGTCGAAGTGCAACGATAAAAACAGACTATCGTAATTACCGGTGTCCAATTTCAGACGTTTGCCTCTGCTCACATTACCCTCATACACTACTAACCGATCAAAAGTTGGTCCGTTTGTTTTGTATAGGTTATGTGTATGAAGGATGGAATGGAACGATAAATCAAGTTTTGAAATTGTAGATTGTATATACGGGATGTCGAATAAGTTATTTTCGAAAATTGTAGTGGGATTGTGATGGAATTATTAGATAAAATTTCTAGGTAGGTTTTTCTGGATAAATATCAAAGTGTAGCATTCCATTTTTTTTTTCTTTCTAAGTAATTTTGGTTTCATTTTGTATATATTTAAAAGAATTTGAAGAAACTCGAAATTACTTAATATATCTATTTTATTATATTATAAATATATTAGATGATTCCTTTAAAAATTGTTAAATGAATAACCAAAATATTGAAAAGATTCTAAGAGGTTAATCTTTACTTTATCTCTGATTTATTCTTTGATTAATGAAAGAATAGCATTTAAAAATCAGAATTTTTTCGATTTATAATTAATTCTTCCGATTTTATTATAGCAATTTTTAGCTTTCACCGGAATATCTGAATCCTTCCACGGCCCCAATTATTTTATAATTTATTCCAAGAAGAAGCATATTCTTGAAACATTATACATTTATATACTGTGTATAATATTAAAATTCATTAGACATTGTGCAATTGATTAATAAATAGCAACAATGGCGAAATACAATATTGCTTAATGAATACTTCTATATCGATAATTATCTTGTTTAATTCATTGACAAGCATGAAACTAATTGGACAAATAAATTATATTATAAATAATAATTTGCATAATACGTTCGATTGAAGAAATTTTCTGTTATTACAGGAATAATTAATTAATTTCATAAAACGATTTCAAATTTTGTTACAGTTTTACAAACGTATTTATATTTTACGCGAATATTAATGCATTTAACTTACAATATATAAAATGTAACCTTTAAAAAAAAAAAAAAATTAAGATATTTTACATTAAAGATTTTTTATCATGTGAATCGATCTTAAACTTGATCTATCCCTTCATCCTTGTAATCCATCCATGGTGTAGTCATTTAACCGCAAGTAATATGGTGTATCTAATTTCTAAGAATAAAATAACTAAGGCTTAGGGACGTGAAACTTACGCAGGAATACTTTCCAAACTAGTTGAACTCGAGACGAAATTCAATTTACATTGAATTTCTTTCACCGCATTAATAAAGAATAAAAATTACTCTTATAAATAAAAAAGAAACAATTAATATGATTATAGAAAGGATTCTTATTAAAAATAACAATGATTTAACCTTTTATGAGTTAAATATTTTCATTCTTTAACATAATAAATTGAAAACATAAAAATTTTAAGATAATGATAATACATATGACATATTATACGCTATTTTCATTCGTGATATAAAGCAGTAATAGAACGAGTAAACGAGTGTAATTACGATTTTCCACCGATATGTGTATATCTGTGTATCTTGCAACTTTACAAGGGGACGAGAGATATAATTAAGAGGGATTAAAAGGGGAGGGGAGGACAAATGGTCTAGGTGCATCCTCCTGGTCTCTGGCGTTCAGTTTTATATAGTTTCTTTGAGATATAGGAAACAAAAGCATATCATACGCGATTATGAACCTTTTGTTTTGCAAACACATATACGTTTAAATTAATATCCATCTGTGTTTATTAAAATTTATCAATCGACAAGAAAGATTAATAATAATTTATTCTGAATTGTAATTAAATAATTTGTAATAGACAATTCTATAATTGTTTAAACAAGTGATATTTTTTTTTTGATTTATCGTTAAATTGTAAATTATCAATAAAAAATTATGTACAAATTATTTTTTGTCATCTAGTTTGAATATATTTATTATATAACTAATGATATAATAAAAAAAGATTTCTTTTTGTTTCATTTATTATTTTCAAGTTTTCATTTAATGTAGTGTTGTAATAAATTTTGAATTTAATATCAACTAATTGTATATATATCATTTATATCATACTGGAAAGAAATCTTTTACCTTTTTCTCACTCGTCTTCAGAGATAAGTCATTATGCAACAAGATTAAAAAACCACCGCATAAAAATTATTATAATCGCAATCATCGACTTTCACCGACACTTTGTACGTCGCATTAGAAGTAACGATGTAAATTATTTTCTCGCTCGAGCTTCTCCCGCTCATTCTCATCTCTGTTTTCTCTTTTGCGAAAAACAATTTTATTACTTTAAACGATCATATCAAATGCTCGTTTCTCACCGTATCGTATCTAATAGTAGTAAAAATCTGAAAGATTTATATTATTACATTTAACTAACTAATAATATTGAAAAACGAAGAGAAAAGAAATAGGAGAGTAGTTAAAAAAAAAAAAAAATAACAAAATAGAAGAAGAACAGAAATAAAATATGAAGTGATTTAGAAGTAAATAAATTTTCTATAATTTTACATATAATGCATAAATAATAATGATGATGCTTTATTTGCAGAGATGAATGGTACCAGACTTGGTAGGGGTCGAGGTGGCCGCCTTGCCGTATACGTGGGTTGCGGGATGGTGGTCATTCTCCTGGTGTTCCTCTACCGCGCCGCCACCTCAGAAATGGCCAGGCTTCAAGAGCTTAATGTCCAATGTTCTCATCAACAGGAGGCTCTTGCCGCTCAACTTCAAGGTATACACACACACATACATACATATATATATATATATCTTCGAATGGACTTCATAAAAATTTTAATCTGAATTTAGTCAAGGGAAATACATTTATTATAAAATAAAAAAAAAAAAAAGAAAATTACAATAAATCATAGATCAACGAAATAATCATGACGAAGGAATATCACTATGCTGAAAAAAATAAAATACGCGATACGTGAAGTTGTTTCCGTTGTCATTTTCAGTGATATTCGAATACAAAGTGAGGTTAGAAAAATCGTTGGCCGAGGAAAAGAGTTCGAACGCGGCTGTGAAACAGGAGCTTCAGCAACGAGCGTCCAGAGAAAAATCCCTTAGAGATAAGGACAGTATAGAGGCGATGCAGAGATTCAACTCTTTGCAACAAACGTACAAGTTGCTGCAGACGGAGCATCAGGATTTGAAGGAGGAATGCAAGAAACGGGACCAGCAAGCTTTAGAGGACACTAGTAAATTGGAGACAACTCTCAGAGAGCTTCGTAGTCGGATTAGGCAGGCGAGGGAGGACAAGGAGAAGGCTTTGGAACATTTGAAGAACAAGTTCCTGGAGTTGGACACGCAGAAAAACGAATTGGAGCAAAAGTACAATGACATGTTGAAAAATAACGTGGACACGGATAGCACGATTGAACATTTGAAAAAGGAGGTGATTCAATTGAAGCGCGAGCTGGATGAAGCTAAAGTAAATCAATTTTTCTTATTATAAATAAAAGAAAAAAAAAAAAAATTCTGACGTTAATTTCTAAGAGATTGATTGATGGTGTAACGTAATTTTTTTTTNTTTTTTTTTCTCTCTCTCTCGACAGAAATTGTCACGCAAAGCTACTTCTCCTGGATCAAGCGTATCCAATCCGCAACCAATAGCGTCACAAGCGAAATCTGGAGAAGAAGAGAATGCAGAAAAACCTGTTGATCGGTCGCAACAGCAGCAGGTAAGTCCACCGACAAATGACGTTAAAAATCCGCAGCCATTGAACGCGCCAATTGCTCAACAAACGATTGAGGATAATCTGCAATCGAATGAGCAACGAGTGAACGAGATGAACAACGTTCGATTCGCCCAGATGAATGGAAACATCGTCCCCGTGGGCCCTAACGAGATGAAGGAAGCAGAAGTGTTACCGTTGCCGTACGATTTGCAAGAGAAACGCCAGAGAAAGGAGAACGATCAATCCGTGATCGATGATAATCAAATTGAGAGCGATAAGATCATTGAGAGGGACGAGGATCGCAATGAGAATCGCAACGAGGAACAATTGAGACAAGTCATTCCACCGCCCAATCAGAACAATGAGAAATTCAATGAGAAGAAGTCCTCTTCCAATTCACCGGCAAACGAAGTTTCGCATAAAATTAACAAGAATCTTGATGACAAGAAGGTTACCACGGATGTATCAGAGGGTAGGGTATCGTGGTTGAAGAAAAACGAACATTCTGATCTTAATAATGAAGTAATGGATAGGATAATTGGTCAGCAAACTTCTGAGAAAGTGGAGGAGAAATTGGAAAAAGTTCAGAACAATGTTGATGGTATTTTGAATCAGATTTTGAGAATGATCTGAGAAATTAGGTTGAATGAGATTTGCGGAGTTTTGTCAGATTCTTTTTTTCTAGGGAATAGGCATGGATAATTGTATTTAATGGTATTTCTTGAAGAAATATCCATCGTCTTTTATATAGATACGTTAAAATTAATTTCCAGCTCATCTCATGTGAGTGTTAACTCAGATCCTAGTTACGATTTCTTTTGAAATGAAGATATTCAAAGCGTTTTTAAAACATGAACAAAATTCAGAATTATGTGATAAATTTTTAACGGTGAATTAGTTGATATTTTTTGCAAGAAAAAAAAATTATTATATTGATCGTTGATGTTGAAAATATATAATGAATTGAACAAATGTTTATATAGCTGTTCTAATAATTGTAACAAGCTGTGAAAAAACTTATTGGCTTGTACAGATTAAGGAAAAGTGCCTTTAAGTGATTGCTGAGGAACTGAGTCTTTCTAGTGTAATATTTTTAGTAATATTTATACATGCACGTAATTTGCATGATTTGTACTTGGTGCTGTAGCTAGATAATTTCTTTAACTGATCCGTAAGACTTTAAAATGAATTACAAAATTAAAAAAAGTATTTTTTTCCTTGAATATGAAATACAATGAACAACAAAATGTGACAATATAATATAATAGAGAGTTTGAAAAATTGCATGACAGAGTAATTTAATTAAGTATTTAATAATACTGAGAAAATTTTGCTAATTTTATTTATAATTGGTATTAATTATTATTATTATTATTATTATATATTATTATTATAAATGTTGAATTAGGATACAAAAAATGAACAAATAAAAAGAACAGCAAAATTGCTTCTAAACTATTATAAACAACTAATTTAATTCTAGTATTATGAAATATGATGAATAAATATTGTGTATATTATATAGAAATATGAATTGAAATATGAATTAAAATTTTCTATCAGAAAAATCTATTTTTCCTTTTCGAACTTAGACAATCATAAACTTATAATATTGACTTAGCAATACAAAAAATCCACTAACTCAAATTTAACTAATAATCTTATTTACATTCTTTTAATGGTTGAAGGTGTCTTAAGTATTAACATCCTTTTTTTTTTTAATGTAGATTTTTTTGAATGAAGGTATTTTAAGTGCAATATCTTAGATACTTTATGTAATGAAAGAATAAATGTCTAAGATCTGTCAAGAATGTTTTAGCAATTGTGTAAATGTCAAGTATTTTTTTTCTTTTTTTTATTTGTGTTATTATATTTATGAATTTGTATATGTAAATTGGAATAAATAATTAGGCTGTCAAGAAATGATATTCAATTTTAATTATCTTTAATTGTGATGTTTTTTTCAAGTTGAATTATTCAGTTTGCATAAAATACGATTCATTATAAAGATCAATTTAATTTATTGACAGCTTAAGTGTAAAGAAAATATGAACGATTTTGCGTCATTTTTCTTGAATGGTAAAAAAAAAAAAAAAAAAAAGATCACTTATGTACATATAGCTTGCAAGCTGTACTGAATGTGCCTGTATGTCTGTGTTAATCAATGCATTAATAAATTGTTATTATTTTGATCTGCTTGCATTTTTTCTGGCACCCTTGCACAAACCTAACGAAACTGATCTGCTTCATTGTTACTAGTTCGCTGTGAATTTTTTCAAATTCTTTTTTTTTTCTCTCTCTCTCTCTCTCCAAATATAGTCCATACGATTAAACATTAGAATCTTTGGTGAGTTTGGTTTGAATTTTTCTTTTAGTAGTATCCTTTTTTTCTTATCCTTCTTTGAGTAAAAAAAAGTAATAGTCAGAGTAAAAGAAGTAAACAATTTTTTTAATATTTTGTGATACTTCGTTTTTTATATTTTATTAATTTTATTGATTAATATTTGATTTAAAATTTTTTAACTATAAATGATAGATATTTATGAAATTAATCAATTGATCTCACGCTTTATCTATTTTTATTTTAATTGTAAAAATTGTTTTAATTTTTTTTTTCTTAATATGATTAAAAACGTTGAAATTTTTTTGAAGTAAAATCGCAACGTACGTAGTTTAGTTATTTATGAAGTGATTTTTTTTTTTTAATAATAAAAGCATGTTTTATGCAAAATATTATTTTATTTATTTTTATTTATACGCTTTGATAATTTGACAAGAAAAAAGAAACAATTTTATTATACTTGCTTGCAATAGAAACAAACAGGTAAGTTGATTTTGCTTAACGTATCACAATTGTATTCTGTTATTTGTTGTTTCTTTATTAAAATAATCTACTATTGCCCGAAAATTTTGCTTATTCAATTATTTCTGATAGTAGAATTATCGTTTCAATTTTCTCTTAAAAGACTTTTAATATAAAGTATTAAGGTAATCCAAGTATTTCATTAAAGTACATGAATGTATTAAATAAAATTAGAAATAACTTTGCATCACACTTTGCATCATACATAAAAACTAAGAGATGGAAGTTAGACTTAGTTCCCAGTACATCTTTAAATAAATAAATTGTCAAATTGAATTCCACGAAAGTTATTCTGGAAATAATTAACAAATAAAACTGATTATTATAAGTTTCCATTAACAATCAATTTAATCTACCTATTAAAAATTATTTAAAATCAGATAAAATCAAATTCTGTTAATTCATTAATTCTATTTATTTAATCGAAATAAAATATAAAATCGAATAAGGATATTTACTTTAATAATAAATTCTTTTAGAGCACGGTGACGATCAGCTTGATGAAGTCGATACCGGCTGTCAAATTGGAGACTTCAACGCCTGCAAACAGCGGCAATCCGATGTCCACGTTCGCGGACAAGGCTCTTCCGATCGCGAAACCGGTCTTGAAATCCAAACTTCCGGTTGGCGTGCCTCCTATCCCGGTGATCATCGACCAGAAGTTGGAGAATCACGAGGAGAAGCAAGACGAGGTGGCCAGAAAGAAGGAGGAACCCAACAAGAAGAACAGCAACGTGGATAGCAAGGAGCAAGAGGGTGAAAATGGCAATCTGGATTCTCCATTTGAAGCTATTCCAGCGAGAAGAGCCGATGAACAGGTTCCAGACAGAAGAGGGAATGGTTGGTTCAACGTTGGCCCTGGTGTACAGGAAATCGGTGATGAATTGAATCACATTCGTTTGGCTGGGTATGTTTTTATATTTTATATATATAAAAAAAAAAAAATGAATTAGTTTTCACTTGAAAAATTTATTTTTTGAATGAATTTTTCAGTATTGATGGTGGTGGTGAACGAGTTGATGTTGGTGATGATCAATATGAAGGTGTTGAGTATGACAAAGAACCGCAGCAAAAGGATAGTGATTTGAGATTGGTTGAGGGTGAAGATGAAGGTGAAGGTATATATTGTATCATTAATTATGTAAATATTTATTATTTTAAGTCTGTTATATATATTTATTGTTCAATGTTGTTTTTTGCTTGTTTTCTTAGATGAAGATGATCAGATAGACTATCCTCAGAACTTGAAACAGGATAAAAGGGAATGAAGAATTTTTCAAAAAAAGTATGAAGTGATGAATTTGATTAAAAAAAGAAAAAAAATGATGAAGTTCAAGAAAAAAGCAATTATGGTACTAATTAACATCTACTATCAATTAATTCTTCATCTTGTCACTACTTAACTTGGCTGCTAATCTTCTCTTGGGAGAAGGAAGAAGATGAAGGAAGATTTTCAACGATAGATGCACCATTTTACTTTTTTTATCTATATTTTTTTCTCTCTCTCTTTTTTCTGGAAAATTCCATACGAAGATTTAGCCAAAAGATTTAGATAGTTTATACAGATGCTATTTAAGAGTCGCTGCTTGGTCAACGAGTAGATGGTATTTTTTATTCAAAAGCTTGTTGATTGGACCGAGCAGTGTGTCGATAGAAAGAAACAGACTGTATTTTTCTAGAATTAATTCTAAGATAAGAAAGATACGAGTTAAAGTTTCCACATGGCGAAAGAAATCTCTTGCAAAAATTCACTCTTTCATTAGCAGATAGAATAAAAAGAAAAAAAAAAATATTCATTGTATTTCATTGTATGAGAATTAAAAAACAGTATTTGTAATATTTGATAGATAGCAATAATTTGCATAATGATTATTATTACAGTATTTCATAAAGAAAAATTTTTATACATAAGAAACTAATTTCACTTTATGAAAATATAAAGTTTCTTTTTAAATGTATAGATTAATCACTTATACAATTAATGTTTCCTAACAACAATCTAAAATATATTTTATTTACGTATTTAATTCAATAATATTTAATGATTTATTTTACAATTTAGAAATGTCATGTGTTCTAATATTCACATCTAAGAAGTTCTGAAAGTACGAATAATTGAAAAAAAATGTTTCTTCTTTATTTCTTTAAATTAAAATTTAATCAATTATTATTTTATATCTAATTTAATTAATTGTCATTTTGATTGAAATGTTAATGAATCGATCATCGGTTATCAGTAGAATTTGAGCAATATGTAAGAAAATCACAACAAACATTCTGCCAATGAAAGAGTCGATAACTTTCCTCAACGAACTACCTACGCGGTGTCGCGACTTAAATGCACTTATTACTTAAGCCGTCTCGTTGGACATTTTTAAATAGAAATTAACACCTCAATCAGCCGACAATTCTTGTTGGAATCGTGCAATATGATCGGTACAAGGGTACACGTGATTTATTTATTGCCTATCAGTCGTCGTTTTGGCGCTAACAATCAAGACTTAACAGAATGAAAGGAACTAAACTTTAAGGAATTTATTATGGATTTAGATTAATATTTGTTATGAGCGTAGATATATCTACTTGACACAGAGAAAAGTGATACAATATGTACATAAGAGTTTTTTCATAATAAAAAAATTGAAAAATCTTGGAATCTTAATTTTTTTTTTATGTCTAACACTTATTTAAATCTATAAGGAAATATTAATTATGCTAGTGAATATTTAATGAAAAGTAATTGTAAAAATTGACCATTGAATTTAATGATGGAATAATTTGAATTATTTGAAGTATTGTTGTGCACATACAAACTTGAGAGATTTTTTTGTTACATAAAAATGAATTTTATTGAGTATTTTACAGTATGATTTTATGACCATGTTAATGCGTCTGCAAGAAATGAAATATTACTAAATAATCTGCAATGTCCCAATAACCTCTAACAGTGATACAAGTATCTAAAAGGAAGCATTATCTTTTTCTTCTTTTTTTTGCTCTAACTAAAAGATTTATGAATCAATGATTTATTATTCATTAATACAATTCTCTCTCTATTTTTGTCTTATATTTTATATAAATTATAAATATTCTCTCATTTTATTTAAATATTCCTTTTTTGTTTCAAAGACTATCATTCTGGTATTTTTGAAATAGAATATTTTTCTTTTTTTTTTTTTTTAGAATAAATTTAATGCATTAAATTATTCAATGATGTAAACGATTTTCTAAAACCATCTGTATCGATAACATCTCCTTTGTTTATCGTTTCATTCCAAAGTTTCCACTAACTTTTCTGCTGTGAAAGTTATACAATGAGTCAGTCATCAACTCACATGTTATTTAATTAAACATGTTAGCCGAGTAATTAACAAACTTCTTATCGATGCGTCATCGATATTTTCACAGCAAACTAAAAACATTCCCAGCGTTTCATCGAACCTCATGCTTAATTATCATTTGTAATTATCATTTTCTTCTTTGACATTTTTATATTATTATTAATTATTGTCAATTTTATTAAATAATCAATATTTATTTATTAAATAGTCAATATTATTAAATAATCATTATTCAATATTCGCCTAATGCAAATGTTGAAATGATTTACAAAAGTATAATAAATATTGCTTATTTATTAAGTTTATTAAGTTAATTTAATAACTTAATGAATAAATATTAATTATCATTTTTGAATATCAACTTTTGTATTCGCCTAATGCAAATGTATGAAATGCATACATACATATATTATAATTTTCATAATATTATTATACATGTATAGTATATAAACTATATATTTTAGAAAAAAGAAAAATTGATTTACGAAAGTAAATATTGCTTATTTATTAAGTTATAAAGCAATATATAACTTTAGTTTAATAACTTAATGAATAAATATTAATTATCATTTTTGAATATCAACTTTTGCATTTACTTTGATCTCTGAGAATCGGATCATCCAATGATGTTTCACGAACGTATTAACGTATCCTGTAACGTGATGCAGAGATAACTCTGTCATATTGCTCAGTTTATCTAATTTAAACTTAGCTCATAATACATATATAGATATATGATATATTTCAGATAGCGAAACAGAAAAATTGATTTACTAAAATATTGCTTTTTTTTTGCCTTATTTATTAATTTATAAACAAACATCTTTCTTTTAAACGAGAAGATATAACTTTAACTCCTTAACAATTTAATAATTAAATCTTAATCAACATTTTTGAATATATCAATTCTTTCCTTCGATCTCTGAGAATCGATCGTTCATATTCCAGATATTCTTTGCGTAGACATAACATTATCTTCATCTAACTTAATAAGAAAAGCAAGCAACCAATTTTCGAATACCAATACATTTTACATTTTCGTGTCTCGGCCTTTAAAACGAATCGTTCAAGAGTCGAAATGCATCGATAACGGTGTTGAATGAATGAAACGCGATTTCAACGGTTTGAAGAAAAAGTTTGTAGAATGTTGATGATGTTTGAGCGAGCAAGAATAGCGAAACTTTTCCACTTTGTCGGGCGTTTGTTATTTTGCATATCGGGCATCAGATGTTATGCGGTTCGAGCGACATTATGGAACAGATTATTATCGTATGGAACGTGCTCGTGATTTTATTTGCCAATGAATCACTCGTATGTATATACACGTGTTACGCAACCCGTGCTACACGATACAGGACGATTGCGATTCTCGGAAGTGATTTGCATTCCGTTTGATCGACAACATTCAACCTCCTCGTACTCGAGATAAGTGTTCGAGTTTCTCGAAATTATTTTTCAGAATTTATGTCGGTATATATACGTAATAATACTTCCATTTTCTATTTTCTTTGGATCTAACGAAAGAAGAAACGTCGTTTAATATTGTCGATTGTTTTCTTCTTTCTTTTTATTTTTTTTTTTTATTAAGTATTAACATCGAACATTGTTGTTTCTTCTTTTGTTTCTATTTTTATTATTGTTGTTATATTGTTGATTAGACGTGTTCATATATTTTCTTTCTTTTTATTTTTTTTTTATTAAGTAAAAGTTCGAGTTTCTCGAAATTATTTTCCAGAATCTATGTCGGTATATATACGTAATAACACTTCTATTTTCTATTTTCTTTGGATCTAACAAAAGAAGAATATTGATATCTTTAACACTATTGATATCTCTTTTCTGTTTCTATTTTTATTATTATTATTGTTGTATTATTGATATTGTCATATATTTTTTTTGTTTCTATTTTTATTATTATTGTTATTGTATTATTGATATGTCATATATTTTCTTCTTTTTTTTTATTTTTTTTTTTATTAAGTAAGAGTTCGAGTTTCTCGAAATTATTTTCTAGAATCTATGTCAGTATATATACGTAATAACACTTCTATTTTCTATTTTCTTTGGATCTAACGAAAGAAGAAACGGATACGTCGTTTAATATTGTCGATATTTCTTCTTCTGTTTCTATTTTTATAATTATTGTTGTATTATTGATATGATATATTTTCTCCTTTCGTTGTTTAACATTGTTGTTTCTTCTTTTGTTTCTATTTTTATTATTATTGTTATATTGTTGATTAGACGTGCTCATATATTTTCTTCTTTCTATTTTTTTTTTTTTATTAAGTAAAAGTTCGAGTTTCTCGAAATTATTTTCCAGAATCTATGTCGATATATATATGTAATAATACTTCCTATTTTCTTTGGATCTAATGAAAGAAGAAACGGATACGTCGTTTAATATTGTCGATATTTCTTCTTCTGTTTCTATTTTTATAATTATTGTTGTATTATTGATATGGTCATATATTTTCTTCTTTTTTTTTATTTTTTTTTTTATTAAGTAAGAGTTCGAATTTCTCGAAATTATTTTCCAGAATTTATGTCAGTATATATACGTAATAACACTTCCATTTTCTATTTTCTTTGGATCTAACGAAAGAAGAATATGGATATCTTTAACACTGTCGACGTTTGTTTTCTATTTTTATTATTATTGTTGTTGTATTATTGATATTGTCATATATTTTTTTTGTTTCTATTTTTATTATTATTGTTATTGTATTATTGATATGTCATATATTTTCTTCTTTTTTTTTATTTTTTTTTTTTATTAAGTAAGAGTTCGAGTTTCTCGAAATTATTTTCCAGAATCTATGTCGGTATATATATGTAATAACACTTCCTATTTTCTTTGGATCTAACGAAAGAAGAAACAGATACGTCGTTTAACATTGTTGTTTCTTCTTCTGTTTCTATTTTTATTATTGTTGTTATATTGTTGATTAGACATGCTCATATATTTTCTTCTTTCTTTTTATTTTTTTTATTAAATAAGAGTTCGAGTTTCTCGAAATTATTTTCCAGAATCTATGTCGATATATATACATAATAACTTCTATTTTCTATTTTTTTTGGATCTAACGAAAGAAGAATATGGATACGTCGTTTAACATTGTTGTTTCTTCTTTTGTTTCTATTTTTATTATTATTGTTATATTGTTGATTAGACGTGCTCATATATTTTCTTCTTTCTTTTTATTTTTTTTATTAAATAAGAGTTCGAGTTTCTCGAAATTATTTTCCAGAATCTATGTCGGTATATATACATAATAACACTTCTATTTTCTATTTTCTTCGGATCTAACGAAAGAAGAATATGGATATCTTTAACACTGTCGACGTCTCTCTTCTGTTTCTATTTTTATTATTATTGTTGTTGTATTATTGATATGGTCATATATTTTCTTCTTTCTTTTTTATCATAAATTGCAAGTCGTTGAAGAATTGTGATAAGCAAGAAAAAATTCGATGACAAAATAAATAGGAAAATGAATCAATAACATTAATAATATTTAATTCCTCTCTAACAAAAAATAAATTATTTAATTGTGAAGCTTTTATCCTTGAATCTCGTTGAAATGAACAGAAGAAGAAAAAGGTTCCTTGATCGAAAGATCAGAAGTAAAATTCCCTTCCCTTTCCTTTGTTCGACTGATGAAAACAAAAAACAAAAAAAAAAAAAGGGAAAAAATTGTATCAAAATAAAAAAGAAAAGATATATTAAAACGAATTTTATTAACGATACATTATTTTATTAAACGATATATTAAACGAAAAATTTTATTAAACGATATATTAAAACGAATAAAAATTTATATCCCTTCCTTGAAATACGAAACCGTGATGAGTCTGTGTGCGTGTATGCGTGTGTGTATTTCGCATGGCTAAACTTCGACATAAATAAAACATGGAGAGTTTTAAAACGCGACGCACGAAGGGGAGAAGAAGAAGGTTGCCGGCCAACTTCTTTGAAGGTTGTTCGCACGTGAATTGGTGAACGCGCGACTCTTGGTTGACAAGCCAGGTAATTGAGGCTGATTGTGTTACACAAGGATGAGATCATACGTTGTTACGCCCCATATATAGGTCGTATTCGATTAACGCGAAGGAAGTCGAATTATTATCGCGTTTCAAACCTTCGGCGCGAATTATTGGTAAGAAAAGCCTCGAAGGAACGATTTTCGAACGCGATTTCTCTTTTTGATCGACGCAAAGGAGGATCGAAGCAAGATGCTAATAATTTTTCATTTTTTTCCCCTCCTCCCTGAATTTGAAACGAAAATTTAATCATCAAAAGAAATTTCTCGAATTTCGGTTTTCGAACGAAGGATAATATTTACTTTTGACTTACTTTGCAGAAACTTTTTAGCAACATCTCGAGATATATATTTATTATTCAGTTTGCAACCTGGAAATTACGTATTCTTTACGCTTTGAATTTGGAGGATCCTTGTTTTTTTTTTCAAAGAGAGAAATTTAAATTACGAATCGACGACATCGTTGACATCGAAGGATCAAGAAAATATAAATTTCGATCGATTGATATTTTATTCCTCGAGTTAGTTATCTTTAAAAACGTTCCGCTTCGAGACGATTCTTAGAGAATCTTCGAGTTTGCGGATACGAAGAGACAAGAACTTGATGCGATAACCTTACAAGCGAAAGGTTGTGACTTCGCTGTGTTTCAGATTCTCGAAAATAAGAGGGAAATTATTAGTCATGGCAGATAACTCAACCCTGACAAAATAACACGTTAGATAATACGATAAACAACGCAGAGAGAAACTATAATTGGCTTCTTGTAATTGGTTTAGCTCTCTCTCTTTCTCTTCAAAATATAATCGAATTTCCAACGAAAAAAATCTTCACTTTTCCTTCTTCTTGGGAAATTAAAATATTATGCTTCGTCTCTTCTTGCGTTTCATATCTCTTGATATTTTTTTTTTTCAAAAATAATATTTAATCGCAAAAGAATCATACGATTCTTTGTTTGTATTTCTTCTTTGGTAGAAAATTAAAAGCATAAAATATATTCTATCTCTGTATTTTATTTTATTATCCTCTTTTTTTTTTTAATTGTAAAAGAAAAAATCTTGGAATGGTTGGAAAATTACGAGAATTCCCTTCTTTTATAAAATATAAATTATTCACGAATGAGAGACAGAGAGAGAAAAAATTAATCTGTATCCGTGTAATCTGTATTAAGATTTCGATGATTCATAACATTCTATTTTGAATCCACGATATACGGTTGAAATCCTGTTCAATCCATAATTTTAAAATATTCGTATTTTCTGTTACTTGTTTCAAAGAAAAGGGGCAAGGAAGGCTGGAAAAATTAATAAAAATGCTTATAAAATATCGCTCAAACATCTAAAAACACAGAATTAATTAATCATAATTTGTTTCAACAGGGAAGGGAAAAATTGATTACAAAATATCAAAACATTTCAAAACACGGGATTAATTAATCATAATTTCTTCGATCGTGTAAATTACTCTACTGATCGTCGATGCGCATGCAGTGTATCACATAAACATTTCGTTCCTCGAAATCGATCCAATTATCTAGAAATTATTTCCCCGTGTCCTTGATTTTCTCGCTGCAACGAAGTACGTGTAAATACAGAGTCGCACTCGTGGAATAAACGGTTTCTGGACCGTATCGTACCATTGACGTAGGATCCAGCGACCCCCACCACTCCCCACACACCGTCTGCCGGCCAAGGTATCAAAGTCTCCGGCGAACGAGTCGCCGCGGACAGTCCGCTTCTTCCTTTCGAAAAGGTAAGACGCGACTTTCAATTCGCGCTCCTCGCGATCGAGATGGTTTCGTTTTGTTATTGGAAAACCAGTCGACCTTGAATCTTTATTTCTCTCTCTCTTTCTCTCTTTCTTTCTCTTTGTATGGTGTATAAATTTCTTCTATAAACTTCTTTATGCAGTTTTATTCGAGGTTATGTTTTATTCGGTTATTGGATATTTTCACGAATGAGGCAAAAATAATTAAAAGTTGTTCGTTATGGTGAAATAATATAATATATATATTAGTAGTGATAATTAATTAATAATTATTGCACGATTGTGATTAATACGTTGTTAGAAAGTTGTCTCGAAATTTGATTTCCTTTAGAAGTATCGTCCTTTGATAAACGAATAAATAAATAATACGAGTGGATTGCGAATATCTATATACGCGATTTCTTCGAATCGGCTTCGTTTTCACTATGCTAATTTTCATTACGTGTATATATATGTATATATACATATATATTCTTTTTTTTCTTTCCAGAGTCAGCGAATGGTCGCGAAAATGAAAGTGTTAATTTTCGCCGCTGTTGCGATATTCTGCGTCCAATCTGTGCTCACTGTCGACACACACGAGCACAATAAGATTGTGTGCTACTGGAATACGTCGGCCTTCGAGCGACAAGGTGAAATCATAAAATATTCCGTCGATCGATCTCAGAAAAATTGAAATTTTTATTTTTATTATTAGTTATTAGAATAATTCTGCGCTTTTTTCCCCCCTTTCTTTTTTTTCCTCGTGTCTTGAGAAAATCAATTTTAGATGTATTTTAGGGCCAGGAAAATTCCAGCTGGACGACATTCAGTCGGCCCTCTCCCTCTGCACGCATTTGATCTATGGATTCGCGGGGATCAACGCGGAGACGTTCGAAGTCGTTCCTCTGAAGCCATCACTGGACACAGGAGTCGGATACTCTTATTACAAACTCGTCACTCAGCTAAAGAGATCATTCCCAAATCTCAAGATCTATCTCAGTATAGGTGGCAACGCCGATCCTGATGACGAGACTCATAAATATCTCGTTCTCGTGAGTATCTTATATATTTTATTATTTTTGAAACGAGATTCGGTGAAAGTTACATTCCTTTCCTTCATTGCGGACATTTTCTCTTTTATCATTTAATTTTAGCAACGATTCAAATTTAATTAAAAATAATAATATATAATGTATTATATATTAATAATAATAATAATATAATAATATAATAATAATAATAATATAATAATATAATAATAAAATGGTAATAATAATAATAATATAATAATAATAATATAATAATAAAAATATATTTAAATAAAAATAATAATATATTCGATTTGTTCAGACGGAGACATCGCAATCGAGATCGAAATTCATCAGCTCTGTGAATCGGCTCCTCAACGACTACGATTTCGATGGGATCGACCTGGCTTGGCAGTTCCCACCCGCCAAAGTTAAGAAGGAACGCGGCACATTTGGCTCGATCTGGCACGGCATCAAGAAGACCTTCGGCTACGGTAAATTCAAGGACGACAAAGAGGTGGAGCATCGTGACGGTTTCACCATCCTGGTCCGCGACTTGAAGGCCCAGCTCAGGCCAAGAATGAAGGATCTGACGATTGGTGTCCTACCTCACGTGAACAGCAGTGGTGAATATCAATTTTTTTTTTTTTCCCCCAGAAATTATTCGATCGTTCAAATATTAAGAGATTCGATACGAAATACGTTCCATTCATTTTTCTAGTTTATTACGACGCGAGATTGTTAGCGCCCAATATCGACGCCGTCCACCTCTTCACTTTCGATCAAAAGACACCGGAACGCAATCCACAGGAAGGCGATTATCCAGCGCCTATCTACGAGAGTTACGGCCGTGTTCCTCAGGATAATGTAGATTCAACGGCCAGGTGAGGAATTTCATGATTCCCCTCTCCCCCTCCAATTAAATTTTATTCAAGAAGAAACAGAAAACGTTTCGATTCGTTGTATGAACCAAAAGAAGAAAGAAGCTCCTTAGTGTCTAAAATTTCTATATATATATATATANTTATAAAAATTAAATTATTTATATTTATTTATTTATAATATTTATAATATTAAATATATATATATAATATAAATATATAATAAATATTAAATATTATATATATATAAATATTAAATATAAAAAATATATATATATATTTTTATATTTTTTATATATTATTTTATATTATTATTATATTATATTTTTTATATATTTATATATCTAATATATAAAATACATAAAAATATGGGCGAAGTATCGATTCCGTTTCAAGGTACTGGCTCGAGAACGGGACTCCGGGTTCCAAGATCGTTGTTGGGATTCCAACATACGCCCGTACGTGGAAGCTGACGTCGGACAGTCAAATATCAGGGGTGCCACCTATAGTGGCCGACGGGCCGGGGGCCGAGGGGCCGCACACCAACACGCCAGGGCTTCTTTCGTACGCGGAAGTTTGCTCGAGGCTGACCGAATCTGCCGTGGGTCGTTTGAGGCGCGTCGGTGATCCGTCGAAGAAGTATGGCAGTTACGCGTACCAACCTTACAACGAGAACACAGGGGCGGATGGAATTTGGGTCGGTTACGAGGATCCCGACACGGCTGGGAACAAGGCAGCCTACGCCAAAGCGAAAGGTTTGGGCGGAGTGGCCATCTACGACTTGTCGTTGGACGATTTCCGCGGCGTCTGCACAGGGGACAAGTATCCCATAATAAGGGCCGCTAAATACAAGCTGTAAAAAAGTTACTAGAGAGACAATATATATATATATAAATGAAAATGTGGCCAATTTGCATAAAGTTTGGAAGTTATTTTGAAAAATATTTTGTATTATATTTTTTTTGTTTTTTTGTTTTACGTTAAGAAGATTTTCCCAGTTGGCCCAATTGAGTATTTTGCATTTTGCTTTTTACTTTTTATATTTTCAGACATTATTTTATAAGTCGTTCGTCAACTGTACGTTATCGTTTAAGATATTTTATTCGTGTTTTACGAGACGAGAAATGATTTGAAAAAAAAAAAAAAAAAAGAGTGTTGTATTGGAAATTACGTATATGAGAATAAAGAATGATATGAAAATAATCTTCGGGATTATCTTGTGTGTTTCGTCAAATTTTTCCTGCCATATTTGATCGGTAGATAAGGTAGTGATCTAGGGTAGATAGATTAATGCATCTGTACATAGATATAATATATGTATATATATATATATTTTTTTTTTCTTCGTGCAGTCTATGAATTCGGATAAACACATTTGCTCGGGTGTGTATGAAAGGTTTCATTGTAAATGGACTAGACTCGTTAAATATATCAAACATTAGGAGTTATGGCACACGAGATATAACTAATCCATAGCCACTCTCATACATAGTAGAAACATATAACGTTCCTGAAATTTCGTGGTTACATTCATGGTTCTGCTTTCACTTTGTTCGTTCGAGATCGAACATATAAATCATCCTCGAAACTTTCTTCGAAAGAACATTTTTTTTACCAAACACTCGTGCACAAACGTTGGTACAGTGAACGGTATAGACATCTTTGTTCCATTTGGTTCCTGTGTTCCAATCCGTCGTTCCATTAAATCGAATTAATATAATAATAAGAAGAAAACAAAATTTTTCTTCTAAATTTTAAATAATATATATAATTTTTTAATTAACTAGATCAAATAAATATGTATATACGTATACTTTTTTTTTTAATAAAATGTTTATGAAATTTAATTATCATTTTTGTATAACAATTATAGTTTATTTTCTTTGTGATAAAAAAATTCGTAGAGCTTCGTTTTAGTGGAACGACGAATCAGAAACAGTTTCAGCAACACGAACACATCCTGCATAACCATAATACTTAGAAAATACTAGGCGTGGTAGTTGGAATAGCTTACACTCTATGGTACAGTTAATAATTCGTAATATACTCTTTAACAGGGGTAGGGCACTCGTTACGTTACGTTTAATATAATGAAATATAATGAAATATATGTAGCCTTACAACGTACAACTTTTATTAGCCTTATAACACAACTTTTATTATCCCTGATACTTAACCCTAATTCTATTCTGATCTCGGTCCTCGATGAAATTTTTAACGAACTCGTGCTCGTTCGTAAATTTTTAACAATTTCTTTTTCGAAAATTAAAATCGAAATATGTAAAAATGTCCCTAAAAAATTAGAAAACGGATTATTACATTTAAATATTTTAAACAATGACAACGAGTGCTACGAATCTTGCAAAATTTTTTTTTCTAAATTTTCATTATTTCAAAATTTCAAGAAAAGAAGGAGAAGAAGAAGAAGAAAAAAAAGAATTTCTTTGAATTTTTTTTACGAACGAGCTCGTTACGATCGAGGAGGATTCTCTCTAACTAGGAACAGGACACACTCGACGACGTTACGTTACTGAAAGCATATCTGTGACTAGATCAGCTCATCATGAAAATCGACTGAAGTATTGGATAGTGAAAAAATAAGTATACGCGGAGCTCTCTTGTTGTGTCTCTTTTCTACGCGTGGCGAAACGCTCTCTCTCTCTCTCTCTCTCTCTCTCTCGAATAATTTTGGTGCTTTGACATACTTCGAAATTATTATAGATATCCTTTAAAAATGCAACTTTTGTATCCGTGTTGTGTGTATCGTTAAGAATATAACTCTGAGAAACACACGAAAAATAGTCACTCGTTACACTTTTCTCATTACAATAGAATAATATATTTTGCTGATTTCTATTTTCAACTAATCGACAATGATCTAACGAATGAGTAAACAATTTTCTGAATTTCTCTTTTCTCTTTCTCTCTCTCTTTTTTTTTTTACCAGCAATTATACTTTTAATCTATCCTTCTTTTTTTTTTTTAAACATTTTCTCTATTTCTCCGTTATACAATAGAATGAAAATCTTCAACGTTTATATATATATTATTCTCTCAGACTCAACGAAGATTGGTGTACAAGCGTTTTTGGAAATACGCGACAAATTGATGGCGCCACTGTTCCTTTAACACGCTTCACGTGTTTTTACCTGTTTCTCCTTTTTTACTTAATTCCTATTTCTATTTGCATCGATATATTATTATTATTATTATTATTACTATTATTATTAACGTTCGCTAATGCTACGTCACGCATCTTCAGAAACGTCCTGTACACATAAATGCAATATCAAGTAAATGCAGATCACGGTAATTGGTCAACGCTCGAGATAAAATATCGGCATCCATTATAAATGCAATGGCGATAACGTTTCATTCCAATAATTTATATTCTCTTCTTCAAAACTTCGATAAATTTTAATTCGAATTAAAACACAACGAAACGATTGTTAAACATTCGTGTCGTCGTTAATATGGGATAAATGGGATAAATGGAGAACTTTTTTTTTTTCTTTTTTTTTTTTTTTTNNTTTTTTTTTTTTTTTCCTTTTTTTTTTTTAGAATTTTTCACGCAGTGAAGTATCTATAGAACAAATTAAATCGCGAATTTCATCTTGTTTGAATGTTTCTCCGGGGACGGAATTAGTTGTGAAAAATACAAAAGCGTTGCGGACATTAGAATTTTCGATTGCGATTTTTAATTCGGTTCAGAGTTATGGCGTGATGTTCTTCTAAGTTCTTCACGAGAGATTATACATAAGAATCGAAATTATTTTCCTCGAACCGAAACGCAACCATTCGAATATATTTTTATACGATTGGAATATCGAACGACGCGAAGAAAGTTTCACCATTTACCAAGTGTTCTGTCAGCGATGGAAAAGGAATTTTTTAATCTCGATGCAGGCGGGTGACTATTGGGATAATCTCTGCGATCTAACCAAGAAAAGAGGATTCCTATTTGTATACTGGTTCTCTATACTTTTCACACTCTGCAAATTACTCGAAATGTATTCATCCATTTTGAATGATATCCGACCTTTTTAAAATATTCGATCAACCATCTTATTGTTGTAATCCATCGAGACAACAATAATTTTTTTTTCCAAAAAATTAATCTTTAATAATATATATTCAACGTATCGTAAAATTCATTTCACAAATTCTCATCGAAGATAAAAATAATGAACAGTTGTGTTGTAAGATAAACGCAAAAAGTCTTCCTCTTTTCGCCATTTCGGATATCATCGAAAATGTATTTCTCTATTGCGCGAATTGTATTTTACGTTAAAAACGATATAAATACCGATCCTCCTCTATTTTTGGATGATTTTATCAAACTCAATAAGCGATCGATAGTACTAAGACACAAGTCACACACTGAACGAAGAGCTTTCTTATTTACTGGTAAAAATGTAGCGTGATTGGGTGCGAAGTTACACAGTTTCCGTTTCGAAAAATTGATTCTAATTTTAATTTCGAACAAGAGGTGCTCGACATTTCGATTTCTAAAAAAAAAAAAAAAAAGTCTGGCATGGTTCATTTTTCCAAAACGTATGTAATATGAGCTAGGATATAGCAAGGTAAAATTTATTAGTATATTAAATAATTAAATGTTTTGGATAGAAATATAAAGCTAACTTTGATAAAAAAAAAAAAACTTTAATGCAAAAATCAGTGTACTCTATATACAGGATGTATATGCATTGAAATTAAAATTTATATTTACATCACAACTTTTCTTCCTTTTCCTTTCTAGTAATAAAAATAGTGAAGTTAATATTTATTTTTATTATTGCTTGAACAATGAAATACTTTAAAAACACGAACAATTTTAAATTAATTAAATTTTAAATTATATATATCCCTTAAAATGTCCTCCTGTATTTTTACAATCTCGCTATATCGTGGCCCATATTACAAAATTACCTCTCTAACTCGAGCCAATTATACATCTTAAATAGCGTCTAATGTTTCCTGAAAAAAAGTTCAGATGGCGCTGCAATGCCTCGATTCTCCAAAAGAAAAAAAAAGAAAAAGAAAAAGAAAAAGATCTTCTTCAATAACCAATCTCCAACGAACGAACATAATCATCTACGCGAGTTTCTACATGACGGAACACCGTGTGACGTTGTACCTAGTATCTTGGTCCACATTGTTCACGCTGAATACGCGCAGCAGCCTCTCCGTGTCCTTGCACGCGTGCTTATTGGCCTGCTGCTGCTTCATCAGCATCATTGGCGTCTTCTTCTTCGTCCTCTTCTTGGTCTGCGGCAAGGTGAGCTCGAGCATCTGCTCGAGCCTCAGCCGAATCGGCCAACCGCTCTCCTTGTACTCGTCCTCTTCATATGTAGACTCGTTGCCAGACTTCTGCAACGTCTGGAAGGCGTAATTCATAGGCAACAACTTTCTCGGCTGAGCGAAGGAATCGTGGACACGAACGGGACGAGCCAGGGACGATCTCTTTTTGGCCGGGGTTAGAGGTAACGGTTGGCTTTTCACGGTTGGTCTCACTGCCACTAGATTGTTACCACCACTCTTGGGATTCTTCGAAACTCTTCCCTCGTCCAGACGAGCCAAAATTTTCGCATTCTCCTTCAACGATGACGAGTTTATGGCGTTATTTGCCGCTCTATAGTTCTCCTTCAGAATCAGATTGTTCCCCTTCGCGGTCTTGACCAGCTTCAAGTTATTATTATTGTTCGCGTTCACGCCGGGATTATTGTTGTTGACGACAACAGTGGTCACGTGGCGGCACTGCTCGGCACATTGCAGGCAATCGTAGTACTTTTCAACCGCGTTACGTCGCGCCGAAGCCGAGAATCTCTCACGAAGATTTGCGCGATTCTGTCGCTCGCTTGGCTGCCGGGGTTGCTGTCACACCTCCTGAAGATATTTCAACGGGCACAGAGTTTCCTTGTATAACACCTCCCCCTCCTTGCCCGTGTGGTCCGCTGATCTCACGTCTGCCGCGCAGCGAACCATCGCTACGCCATCTACCTCCTCGCCAACCTGAATCACGATCTAGTGGGCAGAATTGGGTAGATGGCGTTAGTGGACAGTACGAACGGACGGTGAATTAAGATGGAGGAATCCACGTGGTTTTGGAAGAATACCTGATCGCGAAGTAGGGTAATTTGGTCGGTCAATTGCAGGTTACGGGTAACCTGAAGTGTTTTCTGCCCCGACTCCACCCGCATGACGTACGCGCTTGGAAAGTAACCCACTCGGCCGCCCAAACACTTTCCCTTCCACCAATCCTTCTCCGATTTGTCGATTACCGTCACTTTGTAACCAGCTCTGTGACATACAATTAGATTTCAAGTGTTATTGAAAGTGTTATTTCTAAAAGGTTCTAATAATGCCTTCAATTTAATCATTTTATTTAACGTAATTAAAAAATGAAGAAGGAAGAAGAAAGTTTTGAAAAAATATTTCAAAAAGAAAAAAAAAAAGAAAGAATCGATCCTTTTCTAATTCTAGATACTCGTCGAATGATTACTTCAAGTCTAATTCATCTCGATGCCGCGCCTCGAAGTTATAAAGCACCACATAGAGATTGTTGGGAGGTAACACGCGTTTCCCGGGTGGATTCATATGATTTTGATTATTGGTGTGTGGTGAGGGGCAGGGTGAGGTGCTTGCAGACGAATAAGATTTCTCATTTTCATCGGGTAGCTCCATACTGGACATCCTGATGGCTCCTCTGATGTGTTTATGAACGTTGTGGCCCTGGCCTGGACTGCATGGCGCTGCAATCGAATCATCCAAATTACGAATAAGTATGTGAATTAAAGTTAAAATTATTTATAGAGCAATTTTTCAAATTCGAATCTACTCACATAATCTATTGATGCTTCCACTATCTGAATGTCTGGGTGGCGTTGATTCTCTCTGGCCACCGACATAATAATCTCGTGGACGATGTCGAACGTGTGCAGTACCCTCCGGGGAATCCAAGCTGAGACTCTTCATTCTTAGATTCAGCCTCTCGCGTCTACGTTGTGGACTATGCGGCGCTTCATGTTCCATAATGAGCGGATTATAGTAAGTTAGCCTTTGAAATTAGCTCGTTGCTCGACATTGACACCATTTATTTAAGCAATGTTATTTTTTTACTTTTTTATTTTTTATTTTTTTTCTTTACAAGCGAATAGTTAGAAGAAACAGTTAGTTAGAAACAGAGAAAAAGAGAGAGAGAAATTAGACAAAGTTTGGTTGCAGGACGACACAAATGTGTTGTTAGAAGGATAATTACCTACCCTTTTGTTTTCAAATTATGTCGTGTCTTTTTTTTTTTTTTTGCAATTCATCTTCTTTTTTTTTTCAGACAGAAGAAATTGAAAAGTTTGTAAAATTTATAGATAGATATTTCTTGATTAATTACGAAATAATAATAAAATATCAGTTTGTAAGAATAAATGAAACTAAATCAAAGCAAGATGGCAAAGCGAATGAAAATTATAAAAAAAGTTTTGCAATTTTTCGTTGGACTCCGGTATAATATATGATATTCATCTATATGCGTGCAAGAAAATTGCAATATACACAAATACACACACACATATGCAAATACAGATTCGTATTCTTTCATTAATTTTTATATAAAAAAATATTAGGTTTGTTGCAAGAATATATCCGTTTGGCGTCAATGTCGAGACCGGAAGTATACACATACAAGAAATAAGAACACCATATATAGATATACGATTACACCATGAATGCAGACACAAATAATATTTTTCTCAATCAAGCGACAACTTCGATCGATATATACACATTTTTTTTTCACAGGTAAAAAAAAAAAAAAGATAATTTATTATAGAAATTATAAAGAAAAAAAAAAGAAAGAAAGAAACAAAAAATAATAATAAAAAGAAAACAAAGGAGAAAAAAAAAGGGACACGACTCGCGTACCAAGAAATGAAAGCAGGGGAGAAAATATTTATTTATAATATTTACATGATTTCTCCCTTTTTTTTTTTTTTTTTTTNTTTTTTTTTTTTTTTGACAAAATTTCGAATTTATTTTCGATGCATTGGTTTCACGCTTCAACAACGCTTCATACTTCGTACTTCATTTTCCTTCTTCCCTTATTTTTTTGTGAAAATTTTTTTCATATTCTTATTTCTTAAAATTTTATTTTTACATTGAAAAGTAAATGGCTTGCACTATTATGAGAAAAAAGAAAGCCGGGAAATTAGAATAAGATTTGTATAATCATTTTACATTTTTTTCGTTTTTTTTTTTTTTTTTTTTNTTTTTTTTTTTTTTTTTGAGATTCGCACTCTCGAAACATTCCCAAATTTTTAAAAGAAACTATATTGAAATAATAGTTATTTATGAGTTGTATTTATTTGTTCGTTTATAGCTTTGATATAGTATTATTGTAATAATGAATCCTTACCTTTTTTTCGTGTAATTTTTTTTTTTTTTAACAACCTATACGATAAAAATTTCGCAAATAATTTGCGTAGATATAAAATCTATTTTTTTTATAATTTAATTGTGTTAAAATTCAAGAATAAATTTTATAAAATAAAATGAAAAAGTTGCAAATTTTCATGATAAAAGGGGATAACAAAATTGTTGTTTATCGTTGCATATAATTAAATTGATATCTTCCATTCGGCAATTTCAAAGATTCCTTCTTTTCAACAACTTCTCAATGATATTAAGAAAAGAAAGATCGTTACACCGAAGTTTTTTTTTTTTATTTTCCAATGTGTATTTTTCACAAAGAAAAGTAACAGGATGGGATTGTGCAAATAAATAATATTTTTTTAATTTTTAAACATCGATTCTTTTCTTAATTGAAATGATATTAAACGCAAACATGTTCAGAAGAGAATCGAAGAAAAATTCATGGCAATTCCAAGTGTTCATGCGCTGGCAATCGCATCGTCAGTTCCTTGATTCACGTATTTAAATAACAACAACAACAACAATAATAATAATCTGAATATATACATATTCGAGAACAGGAGAAGAAGAAACAAAAGTCAATTAATCTTCGTTTTTTTTCCTTTTTTTCTTTTTTCTTTTCGAAATCAACTACCAATTCCATCTTCGATTCCACGCTTCGATTTTCACTGGCACATCATCTCCACAACCTTCCTTATTACTTCCTTATTATCACACCACTCGAACTTCCACTCTCAACATCACAACAATTCATGATAAGCATAATACACGTCTCGATTATAAATTTCTCCACTGAATTTTACACCTTTGTTATTCCACCCCTTAATCCCAATTAACAATTTCACTTGATCCATCTTAATCAATTCCCAAATTCTCCTCGATACGTTTCCTGTCGTTTCACCGTCGAAAACTTCCCTTCTTCCGTTCCGATAATAAATAACACTAGTCGAGTGGCGTGAAACTTTTTATTCCCCAAGTTTTATCCCATCTTTCCCTCCCTCGAGTAGCGAAGAAACGTTGTATCTTCATTTCACGGGTCATCGTTTCTTGTTAGTCGAGCGATAGAAACGTTCCATCGGCCTTGGAGACGAGGTCGAGGGCGACTCCTGGCGGCTCAGTACCAACGGTTGGCCGAACGGCCTGGTCGCAGACATCGATCCACCGCTGCCCCGTCCTGGTCAATGGAATTGCAACGATTTTTCCCACATTATTTCCTTTCGCTATTCCTTTCGCGCTTTCCCACTCGCGAATTTGCGGATTTCTCTCTCTCAATGCAAAACGCTGTTCAAACCTGTTTTATTGTATTATTGAAGCTAAGTTCTGCTTGTTAGTAGGCGCACGATTTCTCTGGGATCTCGATATCAAGCGTCGGTGGCGCTATCTGGCGGCGTTCCCTCCGTACTATCGCGTATTACTCGTCTCTTTCTCTCTTCGATAATTTTTCTTTTCTTTTCTTTTCTTTTTTTTTTTTTTCTATTCCGCGATGAACTTGGTTAGTTGTCCATTTTTTGGCTCGATTAGCTGTTCTCCCGCTGTTATATTTGCGATTTTGGAGACTCGGGAAATTGGCGATAAATAAAGTTGGTAATATAGTTTGGGATCATTGATTATTTTATTATTAGGTATTTTTCTTTTCTTTTTTCTTTTTTCGTCAAATGACCGAATAATTTTGGTTAAAAAGACATTTTTGTGACATTATATTCTCAAGATATTTTTTTTTTCTTTTAACTCTTTCGAACGATTTATTTTTGACTGTACAATAATCCTTCTCTCTAACATTTTTTTTTTTCTTGAGATGTGAACCGTGTGAGCACCGTTACGTAAAATAATAAAATAACAAAAAAATATCGGCGAAAAGAATTTGTTTCCAGCGGATTTTCGCTCCTCGTAAATGTTATTATCACACGATATATAATAGATTCGTCGATTAATTATTGGTGGTAGCGAAAGAAATCTGCTTTGGAACTATTCTTACGTGTTATGTAACAATTCCAAATATTTTATCTCGATCAAAAAATTTCCGGATGTAAAAGCGGTGCGGTTCAATGATCGTGAAAGTATAAATGAAAAATAATTTTTCCAGGTGGTTAGATCCATCAGTATTCGCGGGGAATTATTATCCACGGATAATAACAAGCATCGAGGTGACAGAAAAAAAAAAAATATACATATACATATATATATATGGCGCGCTGGTAAAGAGGAAGAATGAAGATGAAGTAGGAGGAGAGAAATAGAAAGAGAGACAGAGAAAAGATTGGAAAGACAACAAAGAAAGAAAAAAGAGGCAACGTTACGAGTCATGTCCCTGAAGAAGGCTGAAGTATATTTATGTTGATCAAAAGAATAAAAAATAAAAACAGGGTCACCTTGAAACAGAGAATTGCTCAAGAATTATTGCAAGAATTTTTGATGACCGATGTAAAATCTCTCTTCAGACTTGCATTCTGTCTTTTTTTTTTTTTTTTTTTTTCATATAACNTTTTTTTTTTTTTTACATATAACGTAATCCTCTTGGGATGGAGATATATTATTCATCGTTGACAAGGTTTGATTTTCTTTTTCTTCCTCTATTCGTTTAAAAAAAAAAATATTATTCAAAAAATATAATTCGATCAAAACTTTTCAAAACTCTTGCTCGGTTTATATATCTTTCTTTTTTGAAAATTTTATTCTTTTATTTTTTTTTCTTGGCACAGAATTTCAACGACGAATCGAACAACAACTGAAATTGGACCAATTTACTTCACATTGTACCTTTAGAAGAACTTAAATAACACCTTCATTCTCTCCCATAGAAACAAACTATTTTTAAACGTTGGCCAATAAAAAAAACTTTCACGATTTCATAATTTATCGACGAACAATTCGAGTTCCATTTTTCAAATAACCCTCAAATAATCTCTTTTGCACGATAGAATGCGTCTGAAGAGCACCTTTTTTATCCAACACTTCGCCACTATTTTTATTTCAGGAATTGTGTTTTGAAATTGTATTCTTTTCTTTTTTTTTTTTTTTTTTTTTGTTTCCAAATAGAGATTCTGCTTCAAGATAGAGAGGAATTGGTGCTGTGCCTTACCAGAGGTGGACGAGGAACAAGGGTGGGAGGAGGCCCTCGCTGACGAAGGTGCTGGAGGATGATCTGCTGTGGGAGGCGTAGGTGGTGAGTTTGTCGAGTTTCCACGGATCTCGCCTGCCTGCTTCAGCACCTGGTATATGGCGTCCACGTCTGCCCACACGAGATAGAGAGATAGCAAAGGGATAGCACGAGTTGCATCGCACGAGAGATGCTTTCTTTCCTTTCTTTTCTTTCGTTTCTGTTTCGTTCGTTCTCGTTCGTTTTGTCATTTCTCGTTTCTTTTATTGTCCTCAATAATTGTGTGTGATTTAAATCACTAGGCTTTTTTTGTTCTTTTTCTAAAGGCAACAAGTGTCTTTAGATACCCTTCCCTTCTGGAATACTATTCACATGAATTGTACATTTATATTTTTATATATCTTTGAAGAAAAGGCAAGAAAAGCTATATATATATACTTCTATTGAGTTTGATTAATTTGTACAAGTTAATTGTACATTTATATTTTTATATATCTTTGAAGAAAAGGCAAGAAAAGCTTCTGAAATTTAAAGACACTTGTTCACTTATATATATATATATATACTTTAATTGAGTTTGATTAATTTGTACAAGTTTGATTAATTGTACATTTATATTTTTATCTATCTTTGAAGAAAAGGCAAGAAAAGCTTCTCAAATTTAAAGACTCTTGTTCACTTATATATATATATATATATATATATACTTCAATTGAGTTTGATTAATTGTACATTTATATTTTTATATATCTTTGAAGAAAAAGCAAGAAAAGCTTCTGAAATTTAAAGACACTTGTTCACTTATATATATATATATATACTTTAATTGAGTTTGATTAATTTGTACAAGTTTGATTAATTGTACATTTATATTTTTATCTATCTTTGAAGAAAAGGCAAGAAAAGCTTCTCAAATTTAAAGACTCTTGTTCACTTATATATATATATATATATATATATACTTCAATTGAGTTTGATTAATTGTACATTTATATTTTTATATATCTTTGAAGAAAAGGCAAGAAAAGCTTCTCAAATTTAAAGACACTTGTTCATAGTTCACCTATATATATACTTCAATTGAGTTTGATTAATTTGTACAAGTGTTAGTAGTGTCACTTGTTCAGAGTCACTGAAACTTTACTTTAGCATTTACCTCTCTCTCTGTATCATCAAATGTAATATGTATAATAAATCCTTTGCCGATTTTCGATTCTGGTCAAATTTTTCAAACTGTATACAGCAAATGTTACAAAGTGATCGCAAAGGCAATGTGATAACGAAATTGTCATCGATCGTTTGGAGAGGAGGGGGGGGGGGAGATACGTTCACCGTCGTGTGACGTCAATAGAAGTGAATCAAGTTGAAAGGATTAAAAAAAAAAGCGCATAAGAAGCCGTTTAATGGGAAATTAAACTAATGAAATTCCTCTTGTTAATAGCGTTTAATCGCTTCTTGAGAGAAGCTTATCCTTCTTATGTGAATGAAATATCACAGTTTGATTTAAAACTATTATTTATATACTATTATTTATATTTATATATATACTATTATTTATATTTATATACAAGTATGCAATGGAATTACATAATCTTCAACATCTCTTTCTTTTTCTTTCTTTTTTACCCTCAGTTTCTCGACCTGAAAACTTCTTATTTTACAGACATTATAACCTTTATTGAATCGATGATGGGGGTTCAATGGAATCTGGAGGAACAGCCTGGTGATCGACTTTTCAGCTTCAGTGACTCTGAACGGGGACGGCCATTGTATATTGAGCCACAAAAAAAAAAAAAAAAAACAACACCGAGATAAAGACAGAAAAGTCTTCCCTTTTCTAGAACGCCTGTTGAGGCGACATCTAGGGACACAGAAAAAGATGGCTGGATACGAGCAAGCCGATTAACTGGTTAATTGCGATATAAATTCATGGTCCTGATCTCTGACCCTCTTCCTGCCTCGTGTATCATCACGATGATCATGATCAAGGAGATCGATCGAGGTGAAAAGAGTGGAGCAAAGTTTCGTGCAAAGTTTGAGTTTCGTTTTTCTTTTTTTNTCCCCATTTTTCTCGCGATTAATTTAATCGATCGATACTCTTTCGCAAACGAGACTGATTTCTCATCTTTCGGATTTGTACTTTGTACACAATCGATCTAATCTTGATGCTTTGATTACGTTTCTAAAGAAATTCCTGAAAAATAGTGATATCAATTCTAAAAAAAAAAAAAAAAAAAAAAGTATAACAAAGAAAACAATTTCGAATATTCGTTATGCGTTTTTGTTGAAAAAGGACTCTTCAAGTCCAAGAATGTGATCCAAAATTAGATTCTGGATCGACCATCTTCCTCGCACATTTTGATCTTTCCCGCCCAATTCATTTTTCCCTTTCGAAAATACAATACAAGATTTTGAATGTTTCGAATTTTTTTTTAAGCTTAAAAAATTCAGAGGATCAGTTCGATTCATTCAGAGGATCGATCGTATTCAACGATGAGAGAGAAAGAGAGATAGGTGTACATAGACAGATAGATAGATAGAGAAGGAGATAGAGATAGAGAGATAGAGAGAAAGAGAGAGAGAGAAAGAAAAATCAGAAAATCAATATTGATATATTATTGCATTCCAAACTGGTTCATACTTACTGTATTCAGCAGTTGTGGTTTCATCCACCTGAGCCTGTGTCTTTTGCCGACGTAAAAGAGGGATTCCGCCACTCTTTTTGGGCGCAACGCTGGGGCACATGGCCGGTTGCACCAGGTTGATGCAGTCGGTGTGAGCGTTCGCCTTGCAACCGCGACACCTGACACCTTGGCGGCTGTGACCGCGCAACACTTGGCCACAGGCATCGCAGGGAGTTATCTTTCGATACGTGTATTCGCGCCAAGAATGCCCACCCTCCGACTCCAAACTTTTCCTGGAAGATATACTTTTTATTTTTCTTTCTTTCTCGTCACTTTTTTTTTTTGGGTAATTTTTTTGTCGAGATAAAAATCTTGGTAGATGTAGTGTCAAACATGCTTTGACAAAAAAGAATTAGATAGATATATTTGTTTCTTGCATTAGTTTCATGGGATTATGATATTAAGAAGATCTTTGAATAAGATATAGTTTTTTTAGTAATTTTTTTGTCAAGATAAAAAGCTTAGATATAGTATCAAATATTTGACAAAGAGTTTTGACAAAGAGATTAAATAGAATATATATTTGGACATAGTTTCTTGGGATTATGATATTAAGAGGATCTTTGAAATAATTTTTGTGAAGATAAAAATCTTAGATGTATTATCAAACATGTTTTGATAAAAAAGAATTAGATAGATATATTTGTGCATAGTTTCTTGGGATTATGATATTAAGAGGATCTCTGAAATAAACTGGTAGATATAGTTTTTAGTAATTTTTTTGTGAAGATAAAAATCTTAGATGTATCATCAAACATGTTTTGATAAAAAAGAATTAGATAGATATATTTATGCATAGTTTCTTGGGATTATGATATTAAGAGGATCTTTGAAATAAACTGGTAGATATAGTTTTTAGTAATTTTTTTGTGAAGATAAAAATCTTAGATGTACTCTCAAATATGTTTTGACAAAGAAGATTATAGAACATATATTTAGACATAATTTCTTGGGATTATGATATTAAGAGGATCTTTGAAATAAACTGGAACATATAATTTTTTGTGAAGATAAAAATCTTAGGCACAGTGTCAAGCATGCTTTCACAAAGAAGATTAAATAGAACATATATTTGTCTACACAATTTCTTTGGATTCTAGTAAAAGGATTTTTGAAATAAATTGGTAACTTTAATCAAATATTTCATTAATGACAATCAATTGTTAAAAATAACGTTAGCCATCTTACCTGGACATGGCGACGACTGTAGAAACGGCATGGTACATCGCCTGTTTTCCTCTGTATTAGTAAAGCATTCGCAAAACAATAATTCTCGTTTATTAATCAAAAATCGCATTTCCATTTATGTACGCATTCTGTAAACAAAACTGTTTATCTAAAAACCAATAAAAAAAAAAAAACAAAAAAAGAAAGAAAAGAAAGAAGAGAAACACAAAGACGTCAAGGCATTCTTTCTACCAAGTCCATTTCCGTTGTGAAAAGTTACTGACTTGTCAGCTGATGGAGGAGTCGTCGGGGAGCTGGTCTTCAAGCTCTTGAATGCTTTCAACCATTTGTGCTTGGTGCTTCCGGTAGAGCCATTCGACATCTTCCGGCTGCTCACCCCATCCGGTTGGCCGGCTTCTCCAGCCCCGAACAGCTCTTTCTGAAAATCGTTAAGAGAACGTTAAACGTAATATCTACACTTCGTCAGACCGAAAATAGTACAGTTCAATTTTCTTTTTTTTTTTTTTTCCTCTACGCTCGAAAATTCCACTGATACCAAAAAAAAAACTTCTCATAAAACCACTTCTCATAATCGTACATCATTGGGATGCATAGGGATAATTTATTAAATAATAATTTAATAATTTTTCCATCGCTGAATTAATCTCTTCCAGTCCTTCCTTCCGAAACTGAAATAATAATAAAGAGAAATCTAATTTTGCTTTTCGATTTCGACTTTAAAAAAATTTCTTTGGAATTATTCCAACTTCATTTTTTTCCTCTTTGAAAAACGGAAGGTACGTAAATACTGTATTTCTTGTAATTGACTTTTCCCAATATTCTCTTTCCTTCGAATCTTAATGTATCATTTTTTTTTTTTTTTTTAATCACATTCTATTTATTTTTATGCTCTCAAGATAGGACAATTTCGACGAGAATAATCGAGCTTTCGCAGCAGAGCAATCGATTGTTAAGCAGATATACGCAACGAAAGAAGGAATCTGCACGATTTTAATGCGACAGACAGGTATTAATTGGATTTTATTGGAAACACTCGATGGCTCATTACTGCAACGTACGTGTACCACGTTCACGTAATTTCAATTTCCTCTTTTTTTTTTCCCCCAATTCCAGCCTTTTTCAAAACGAATAATTAACGAAGATCGATCTTACAACGTTAATTAATTATTTAATCGTTATGGTCGAAAATGATTATGATGACGAAATGCCATCAATTTGAATAGAATCGATAATCTGTTATTAATCTCGATTCACGATACTTGATCCATCGCGCTGTTGGAAATAAATTTTCAATCGAAAATTGGGCGAATAATATTGCTGCAACCAAGATTCCTATCGATCCCCCCAAACAGACCATTGTATCTATTCCTATATAGCGTAACTGTACTTGTATAGGGGCTTCATTCATAAAGAGGCTGAAGGTGCATCGACCAGCAGCCAGCGACCAAACCTGCGACCCGACAATATTTCACGATAGATCAATCTCCAACCTCGAATTAAGATTCGATAGAAACAAGCCTACGTGAAACGAACGACGAACAACATCTCTAAACCTAACTTTGATGCTTCTTCTTGCTAAGAAAAGAAAAAAAAGGAAACCACATCTCGAATCTTAAAAAAAAAAAAATCATCAATCATCAATTTCTTCTGCCAATAACCAGCCAACTTTTATATAAAAACTCTCCACAAATCCAAAGAGGGCCAAACGATGAAGAGTCCACTATCCCTCAACGAGCGAAAGAAACGACTCTTCCTTCGGATCAATTCATTCAACGCACGTGCCAGGTCGTGAAAAAGTCCTTATATCCTCTGGATCATCAACAATCACCCCCATCACCACCATGCGTCGTCACGTGTTTTCACATTACACACAGCTGACGCTTGAACACCACAGCTGATGCATTTTTCCATCACGAGTCCAATCTACCATTTAACTCACAAACTGACACGACACGACACGACACGAAACAGACAGGTTCTGTTCAGAAGAGGAGAAAGAATCGGGAGCCGCATAGCAACGGAGAGACAGAGATAGATAGATAGATAGATAGATAGATAGAGAGAGAGAGAGAGAGAGGTGATGATTCACAAAATTGCACAAGGGATCGCGTGCTTTCTTTCCTCTTTGTCTCTTTTGAACAAAGAAAATGGTGGTGCCAGTGGCGTGGATGGAAAGCGAAAGGGGTGGCAGGTGTCCCGGGTCCCAGCAGGTGCGTGTTCAATGCCGTGTAAATACTACTAACGACTTGTGCGCGCAGCGTTGTCCAGCCCATTTCGCCTCGACGACTATAGCCAGACTCCTCCTGCCACCCTGACCTAGGAGAGCGGACTCGAGGCCAGGAATGGATTTTCAGACGGTCGCCGCCGTCGGTGGGTTGTGACCCAGTTGTGAGGGCGCATGTCGCGCGTTTGCGCGCCGTATTTATTCGGCTGCCCGCCTCGACAACAGGCCTCGTTCGGCTTCCGCGACTTGTTCCTTGTTTCCGGCAAAATTTTGCTTTTTTTCGATATCTCTTTCCTATTCCTGATTGCTCGTATTTCAATATCGATTTGAAATGCCTGGTAATGGCAGTTCGTTTGAAAGATTGAATATTGAAAGATGTAAAATGTGTTGTTAAGGTTTAAGAAGAAGAAGAATAAAAAAGGATAAAAAAGTAAAAGAAGTTATTGTTGATATTTTTTTATCGTATAATTGGATTTATAATATATTGTATAATTATAATTTGAAAATTTAAATAAAATTGGACAAACTCGAATACCTGAAATTAATAATACAATGTAATATTCTAATATTATATTGTATTATGTATATTCTAATATTTTAATGTATTAATTTCCATTTTTTTGCCTGGTAGTGGTAATTCGTTTGAAAGATTGAATATTGAAAGATGTAAAATGTGTAAAGTTTTAAGAAGAAGAAGAATGAAAAAGTAAATAAATAAAGTAAAAGAATAGAAAAGGATAAAAAAGTAAAAGAAGTTATTGTTGATACTTTTATCGTATAATTGGATTTATAATATATTGCATAATTATAATTTGAAAATTCAATTAAAATTGGATAAACTCCAATACCTAAAATTAATAATACAATGTAATATTCTAATATTATATTGTATTATGTATATTCTAATATTTTAATGTATTAATTTCCATTTTTTTGCCTGGTAGTGGTAATTCGTTTGAAAAATTGAATATTGAAAGATGTAAAATGTGTTGTTAAGGTTTAAGAAGAAGAAGAATAAAAAAGTAAATAAATAAAGTAAAAGAAGTTATTGTTGATACTTTTATCATATAATTGGATTTATAATATATTGTATAATTATAATTTGAAAATTCAAATAAAATTGGATAAACTCCAATACCTAAAATTAATAATACAATGTAATATTCTAATATTATATTGTATTATGTATATTCTAATATTTTAATGTATTAATTTCCATTTTTTTGCCTGGTAGTGGTAATTAGTTTGAAAGATTGAATATTGAAAGATGTTAAGTTGATTGTTAAGTTCTAAGAAGAAGAAGAATAAAAAAGTAAATCCTTCGATGATATTCATCTAGAAACTAAAAGAAAATTAATTTATAAAATAAATTGATTTCTCAAATGAAGTTATTGTTGATACTTTTATCGTATTGGATCTATAATTGTATAATTATAATTTGTAAATTCAAATAAAATTAGATAAACTCCAATACCTAAAACTAATAATACAATGTAATATTCTAATATATATTAATTTCGATTTGTTTGCCTGGTAATAGTAATTCGTTTGAAAGATTGAATATTGAGATATAAAATATATTAAATTCTAAGAAGAAAAAAAATGTAAATCCTTCGATCAATGTTATTAAGATCTAGAAACTAAAAGAGATAAATTAATCTCTTTTCTCTAAATGAAATTATTATATTGATACTTTTATCATATAATCCATGGATCTATAATTGTATAATTACAATTTGAAAATTCAAATAAAATTGGATAAACTCAATACAATATAATATTTTAATAATATATATATATATATTAACTTACTTCGAGGATATAAAATTCATAACTAAATAATATTTGATTATAAATAGATAAATTTGAATGATTAAAAAAGATAGCATTCCTTGGATAATAATTTTAAAACAAATTATAAAGAGAATAATTCCAAAAACTTTCGTGAGTTTTTGTTTCACATCAAAGATATATATTTTGCATTCATAAGCAAGCTCTAATTTTTACTTTTATGTCCGCTAAGCGAAGTTTTCTATTTTATTTAATAATAATATAACAACAAAAACTATTAATTTTTAACCATTTTCTTTTTCAATAAATTAATCGAATTGTCGCGATAAGAAGTTTATCGTGTGCTATTGAAGAGTTAGATAGAGTCTGATAATTAACGTGGTTCTTTTCTGACTTCTCGAATACTTTAGAGTTTTGATTGAGATGGTTTTTAAGATTTCTCATCAAGTTTCTGAAGTTGTTACAGTTGTTCTTGAAGTTATAATTGGTTACGATTGAAGTTTTTAACGTTGAAAGGGATTCAGCATGGCTATTTCTAATTGTAAATATTATTTCTTCATCTTTTTTCGAAACAAATATTTTTCTAATTTTTAAATTTGATTTTTAGATTTTTCGATTTAGAAACTTAAAATTTTCCATTGTGAATCGATATCTACGTTTCAAATAGTCACAATTTCTTATTTTAAATCAAAGTTTTAATAAATTCATTAAAACATTTTTTCCATTATATTTGAAAAAAAAATTGGAGCAACTTTTATAATTCCAACGCAATGTCACATCGAAAGGATTTTCGAATGTTTTAATGGAACATCTCTGATTGAACCACGCTGAAAAAAAGGAAAAAAAAATATTAAAGAGATCGATAATATCTTTCTCCTTCATTTTTCCAGAATAATCAGAGATCAGACGAAAGCAAGGAATTGCCATAAGTAACTCGAACTCGATCAATTATCGATATCTGGATGACCTGGCCTATAAATTATCTGGTAATCGTTGATAAGTTAAGAACGTATCTTGGTGAAAATTTTAGCAGGATTCGATCGAAGCTTTTCAGTGGAAACATTTCGGTTAAATAATTTCTAATCTGCCTGACTAGATTCAATTCTAGAATGGGAACATTTCTATCGTCGATTCTATCAATGTTTCTATTACGTTCTCAACTCTAAAGAAATATATATATCATTTTACAGCCTGGTATTCTTGTTTTATTTGTCTCAGTGTTGAGACTTTAAGTTTAGTTTTAAAAATAATTTAATCTGAGAAAATACTCAACATCTCAACTTTTTTGTTAATTGTTGCTAATTATTAATTGTTATCGATTATTGTGTCATCAAACAAATATTTTTTTTTGTTCAGTAAACAATTATTAAGTATCGTTCATTATTTATTTTTTCTTGTCAATATATTATGAAATATTTTTAATATTGGATTTCTATTATCAATTCTATCCATATTATATTCATGAGCAACTCTAAAGAGATACATTGTTTCAAAAAATTGTTGCTCCAATATTTCATAAAATAATTTGTATTCTTATTTTACTTGTCTCAGTGTTGAGACTTTAAGGGAGTTTTTAAAAATAATAATTTAATCTGAGAAAACACTTAACATCAACATTACTTTTTTGTTAATTGTTGCTAATTATTAATTGTTATCGATTATTATATCATCAGATAAATATTTTTTTGTTCAGTAAACAATTATTAAGTATCGTTCATTATTTATTTTTTCTTGTCAATATATTATGAAATATTTTTAATATTGGATTTCTATTATCAATTCTATCCATATTATATTCATGAGCAACTCTAAAGAGATACATTGTTTCAGAAAATTGTTGCTTCAATAAAATAATTTGTATTCTTATTTTATTTGTCTCAGTGTTGAGACTTTAAGGGAGTTTTTAAAAATAATAATTTAATCTGAGAAAACACTTAACATTAACATCACTTTTTGTTAATTGTTGCTAATTATCAATTGTTATCGATTATTGTGTCATCAAGTACAAATATTTTTCTTCGTTAATATATTATTGAAATATTTTTAATATTTGGATTTCTATTATCAATTCTATCGATATTATGTTCACAAGCAATCCTAAAGAGATACATTTTTTATGAAAATTGTTGCTCCAATATTTCATAAAATAATTTGTATTCTTGTTGGAAATTTTAAAAATAATAATTTAATCTGAGAAAATACTTAACATTCATCAACATCACTTTCTTGTTCAATATATTATGAATATATTTTTATTATTTGGATGGATTTTGTAATAAACGATTAGGCAATTTGAAATTTCTATTTCGAGCACGATGGAGTTTGGTCAGCCTGCATTTCGGTATTCAGAGCCTTTGACATGGCTCAAGGATCAGGACACGTCGTATCCAGGAATTTAGCAAATGTTCAAGTGGAACGCTCGAATCAGGCCAATCTTCTCGTCGAGAATGATGCTTTCGACAGGCATGTACATGCACGTGTTTCAAACTTGTATGCAAATCAATATTATTGTGTAACGCTTCGCGTGTCTATCTCGCACCCATAAATGAAAAAAAAAAAAAAAAGAAAAAAAAAATGGAAAAATATTTTTCTTCTTGTTACGTTTCTTCCTCTACTTCGACGAAATCATAAATCCTTGTTTATGATTTCCGCTCGTTTATCTTCCTTTTCTTATGTATCACAACGTGAATATTGAATTTCGATAAATTATAATATGAAAGATATAAATTTTGAAAATGCTCGAGGCTATTTGATACGTACAAGATGCTCAAGATTCGTTTCTTATAAGAATATTTCTCATAAGAAAATTATCTAACGATAATTTATTTTATATTTTATTATCTTCTGTATTTTTTACTACAGTGTTAATATATATTTGTGAAATATCTTTTGAACAATCGATTCCAATGACATAGCTCTATCTTTGTCATATCTTTACTTCACTCTAATATAAATTGTTTCTAATTACTTTTACAATCAAAATTTAATAAATAAACGATTCGATTTTTGTTAATACTAATTTTTCTGTTTGTTTTGGTTTTTATACATTGTGGCTTATGTGCCATATAATAACTTTAATTGACCAATTAAATTTAATATCGGTAATAATTGTTTGAAACAGTTAATTAATTAATTTTAAATTTAATAGAAATAATTATTGTTGGTTTTGCTTCAAGCTAAATTGGGATTACAATCTGAATACAGATTATATATACATTTATATTATTAACAAAGAGATTAGAATTTTGGTAATTCCTATTATATCTTATTATATCTATTGTTTGAAATAGTTATTAATTTCAAATTTAATAGAAATAATTATTGTTGGTTTTGTTTCAAACGAGATTAGAGTTTATACATCTTAGGGATTACACATCTGAATACAGATTATATACACATTCATATTATTAGAAAGGGATTAGAATTTTGCCAACTCCTATTAGCCTTATTATATCTAGGATAAGTCTGATTGAGGATTTAGTTCACCTAAAGTCTTCCTATTAAACCATTTAGATCTAGGTTATACCTGCTTTAATTTTTGTCATCTCTAGATTTAAATTTATCTATGTACTCCAATACACAAGGATGATGTGTACTCCAAATATTGAATTCTTTTGACAATTCTTTTTTTCTATTCTCTCACAAATAGTGTTAGAGATTCCATTAAAATTCAAATAATCTGATTATATTACAAGATATATTACAATGAAATTTTTAACATTCTTCCAATTTCTATCATGAACGAATAAACTATATTATAGAATTAAAAATTACAATAATTCAGATATATAGATTCTTACAGTTAAAAATATTAATTAAAATCAATTAATAAAACCCTATGCAACTTCAACAAATTTTTACAAAAAAAAACTCTGATCTCTCCTCGTGATTTGATCGTACTCAACTATACTCAATTCTACGCTTCCGTTTCCATTTGAATTCCACACACCATAGGTGGATCCATCCTTGAAAGGAGATTCGTCTACTCACTTCGGGCAGAGATCACTTATCACTTATCCAATATGGCGTCTTATTTCTTATTTCTTATTTTTAACCGATCTCAGGCACAAGCCGGGCGGAGAGAAGGAACGAAACTGCGGCAGCACGTGCAGGTACACAAGGCAAGGTGCATTGTTCGAAGCCCGTGGAAGGGAACAATGAGAGGCTCGTGCTAATTTTAATCGGCTCAGCTACTCGACTTGAGAATCACGAATGCGCGAGGCCAGTTCTTTTTCTCGCGGTCGAGATCAACACGTTCCTTTGTCCCTGACTCTCTCTCTCTCTCTCTCTCTCTCTCTTTCTCTCTCGATTCCAAAAGCTCGATATCTCGTGTGTCACCTTTCTCTTCCTTTGTCGTTCTCACCCATTCGCTAGTTCTCTTCCTTCCTGATGAATTACCGGATGAGAATAATGGTTTTGCTGACAACTGCTGCGACTGAGTTCTGCGATCTCCTCGAAACGGCCGATTGACAATTTAGGTTAGGAACGCTCGTTTCAGCACACGATTGAATCATTGGGTCTTCCTTTCGAATTATTACGTTTCAAATTATTTCCATCCGCTATTCCATCCTTCCCTGTGCTGGAACGTTCAAACGTTTTTGAATTCGAAATCACGTTTACAATTTATATATGGAAACGAGGGAAGAGGAACGAATATAGTTCGACCGAGTCGATTCGCACGTTCGTTGCGTACGGTAAAATAATTAAACTGGATTTCTTTTCCTTCACGAGGATTAAACGTAAAATGGGGGGAAAAAATACAATTAAAATTTAATTTTTTTTTTAAAGGAAACAGTGTGTACGGTCATTTGCTACACGTAGCAAGAGAGAGAGAGAGAGAGAGAGAGAGAAATAGGATAGAAAATTATTGCAAAGTGTGTGTTTAAATTCCATTCGTGTATGGAATAGGAAATCCTCGTGAGACGTGTGTTTACATTATTTGTACATAATTAATTAATTAATTAATTGGTTGAAAATTTCATAATAAATGAAATTCTATTGTAGAAAGAGAATGAAAGTGAATTATTGGTTAGAGTATTATTAAATGTGTTCACGCATTACTGTTCACAACAGTGTGAAATTGTGTGAACTATAATTATAACTAATTATATTACAGTGACTAAATGTAGCAATGACTCAATACTGTTTCCCAATTGAATTATAATCCTCTTGTTTGAATGCTTAAAATATAATTTCTTCTTTAGAGATATATCAAGTGTATTGAATTCATCAGAGAGAGAGAGAGAGGAATGAATTAATTCATTTTTTAGAGATTTAAAAAGTAATTTATAGTAATGGGGCCATTACGCTTTTTCATAGTTTAGATGAAACGAAGGAAACGGATAAAGAAAATCACCGACTTTGCTTCTTCTGTGATACATCTTCCCTGCGGGATCCATCGTAAATCTAATTTCGGAATCGTCAAACAATCTCTCTATTCTCGAGAATACACGTGCACGTGCATTGCACGAATACACGCTCGATTCTTTTTATCTATATATATATATATATATATATATATATATATCAAAAAAACTTGGAAAACTTTTCTGTCGCGAACGAAGAAACTTTTTCACTAGTCTTGTCGTGGTTTTCTTTTCCGAACAATTCTGTTTTCGAGTTCGAAAACAGTGTAACAAGTTTTAAACTTAAATACATACAACTTTCGGTGGTATGATCTTTTTCTCGTTGGAAAACATATTGACAGTATTTACGAGCAAAGTTTGATAAAAATTTGACAATAATAGTTCAGCTTTCCTCGCCACATATCCATCTTCATCAAGATTTAAAACATGAAAGAAAATATATTTCCAATGAGTTTACAATATTTTTCTAAGAATTGAAATTAATATTTTAGCTATTGATAAAATTAAAGAGAAATATTACACAATTTTATACCTGAGATGTCACACATGCAACAAATGTGACAATGTGTTAGCAAAAAAAGAAAAAGGATTAAAGAAGAATCAAAATACGTATGCGTTTTGCTTGAACATTCGGTTATGTAAAAGCATATATTGCCAAAAGTCAACCAGATTTCTGTTGAAAAGGGTTTGAAAAGGGTTCGTGTTTTATGCAAATTTAAATTTCCAAAATATTTCACAGAATCTCTTCTTCTTGAAGAACAAAGAAACTCATTAAATATCGGTTTAAAGACAGCTTCCAGCTTTCAGCCAACATTCCATCAGCCAACAAACGACACCAATTGAAATACCTGTGCTTGCACAGCTGCAAGGTATAGTTGCGTCTCCCCGAGTGCAAAACGCTTCATGGAGATGTCCTCTTGCAACTCGGCCACTTTCGTGTACAGATTGCTTTCAGCGCTCCTGCAATTAAACAAAAAAGAAATTCCGTTTAGCAAACCCTGATTTTCCAGAGATTAAATCGTGGTACGGTCGCGTTGAATTTCGAAATTAAATCGGGTTGGGAGAGCACAAGAAGAGGTCGAGAATCCCTCTACCTTTTCCTTTATTTTTAATAAATTGAGAACCAGAAAAAAAGGAATGTAAAAGTAGAAACAATTATGAATATATCTTTCTTTTGTTAAATATATTAATTATTTCTCCAACTCGTGTTCCATGACTACAATCAATCAAAATTCACCTTATTGTTTTTCCAAATGAAAGGTTCTATTATTCTAAGAATATATTCTAATCTCTGAGGGATAAGAAATGATCAGCCTTGATCTCTTATCATCCTCAAGATCATTGATCTCAAAATCATTGAGCTGATCAACAGCTGATCAATATCACCATATTTATTTAAATATATTTAAATATATCTTTTATATTATTTATAAAAGATTTATTTAAATATATTTAAAATAATATAAATAATAATATAAATAATATAATATAAATATAATAAAAGATTTTATATATATCTCATATATATCTCAAATACATTTGAATATATCTTAACAGAAATGTGAACAGAGATGTATTTTAACAGAAGAATATTTAACAACAGAGTGATGATTAGACAAACGTTCATTTCATCTTATTACGAAACGTACATGTGCAATCGTTTCTGAACGACTGAAAGTTATAACGTCAATCAATTATCGATCAATCGTCGATTAAACGTTGCTTTGTCAAAATATACATACTCGTTCAATGTATGTATCATTAAATTTACACAAATGGTGTATTCATCATAAATTGATAGATAAATACGCACTTTCGTTGCATGCGAATTAGCGCATCCAAAGCGTCCTGGAGTCGAGTGATCTCTTGAGTAAGACTATCGTATTCCCGTCGTAAATCTTCCATCAAGGGCAGAGTGCTTGTTCCTGTTGGGGCTAGCTCGTCCCTCAGGGAAGGTATCTGATTGATTCTTTCCATAGAAACCTGTTCAGGAGGGCCAGGTGCCACGAAAAGCCGCCTCGAGGGTTTCTTGGACGGGGTTGCAGTTGCTGATAGATTTCGTGCCAAGATCTACATGATAAATTTCTATTTAGTAGCGAAGCATCTAATATCGAGAGACTCTCTATCTACACCCATAAAATATATAAAATGAACTTAATACTTATTTTTAAACTTTATATATTATACTATATTTTATACTTATTTTTAAACTTTTTAAGTGACACATAATACAAAAAAAGAAAAAATTAGAAATAGAAAAAGAAACCTAAAAAATATCTCACGAATGGAGAGATTTAGCCCTTTGCACTCGTATATATATATATATTCGATAAGGATACCAATCAACTCGGAATTTATTTTCATAATCAATCAAAAGGAAAATATTTTTATGCGAACATAACATAAATTAAAATTTCCGGTTTAGTAGAAAAAATTAGCAAATAAACATATTTAATCTGCATATTTAATCTGCACACTCTTTTGAAATATGAAAATCTATATAATATGTTAGGGACATCATATTTCTCGAAAACATGATTTTAATTAATTGTAAATAAATTTAATTAAATGAATATTATGTAATATTATCTGGCTATAATTTGACCCCAAATAATGTAAGATGTCGCCTATATGGCGACAGACGAGTGCAACGGTAAAATATATAATGTCGCCTATATGGCGACATACGAGTGCAACGGTAAAATATATAATGTCGCCTATATGGCGACATACGAGTGCAAAGGGTTAGCAGCTTTTCCAACTGGAAATCTCATCATTGGGTCTTGATTCACTCCCGACAGGATGACAGGATTTGCTTGCCATTCGAGTCGTGGAGCGAATCCAATGTGTGTGTGTGTGTGTGTGTGTGTGTGTGAGAAATATGGAATCGCAAAATACATAGAACAGACATCAGGACATACTTGCAAATCGTTCATAGGCACAACAACTTGAGCCTCTTTGGCAACTGCCTGATAACGCTTTGTCTGCTCCCTGGCCCGCTCCGCGGCAGCCTCCGATATGCCAACCATGCATTTGCAAGCCAATCCGCATAACTCCTCGTAAACTTCCGCTATTTCGCCAAGAAGGCCGGGCAGGCATTGCGATTGATACCGTTCTGTGATGGCATTCGTGGCTCTCAATTGAAGAATGTACGCGTTATGCGCCTCGTAGTAGGCGCGTTTCAGCTCCTGCTCGCTTCCGCCATCTACCGTCAGCAGCGCTGCGTAAGCGCGTTTGTAATCCGCTCGGGCACGCTGCAATTTCTCCTCGGCCTTGGAAACCACCTGTTCATAAGCTTCTCTATGAGAAAATACCTGAAAAACGTCGATTCGATTTTCTTCCATGATTCGGCTCGTCATTTGTATATTTTTGCTTAATTTTTGAGAAACATTGTAATTTGATTTTCTTTCATAACTCGGTTCATAATTTATTTTTTATTTATTTTTGTTTAATTTTTTAAAAACATCGTCGATTCGATTCTCTTTTAATAATTCGTAATTTGTCTATTTTTGCTTAATTTTTTAAAAACGTTGTGATTCGATTTCTTTCATAATTTTTGCTTTTTTTGAGAAACATTATAATTTGATTTTTTTTAATAATTCGATTCGTAATTTGTTATTTATTTTTACTTAATTTTTTAAAAACATTATGATACATCGATTCGATTCTCTTTTAATAATTCGGCTCGTAATTTGTTGTCTATTTTTGCTTAATTTACATTGTAATTTGATTTTCTTTCATAACTCGGTTCATAATTTATTTTTTATTTATTTTTGCTTAATTTTTTAAAAACATCGTCGATTCGATTCTCTTTTAATAATTCGGCTCGTAATTTGTTGTCTATTTTTATTTAATTTTTTAAAAACGTTGTGATTCGATTTCTTTCATAATTTTTGCTTTTTTTAAGAAACATTATAATTTGATTTTTTTTAATAATTCGATTCGTAATTTGTTTATTTTTACTTAATTTTTTAAAAACATTATGATACATCGATTCGATTTTGTTTTAATAATTCGATTCGTAATTTGTTGTGTATTTTTGCTTAATTTTTGTTTCACCTAGAAATTCGAGCGATAGATGGAACGTTAAAAATTTAAAAAAATTTTTTTTTATCTAAGAATGATGGTTCAGATTAAGTTTTGCAATTTTTCAATTGTGAAGATAGGATATCGAAAATTATGAATAGCTACAGCAATCATAATATTTTTGAATTTTGCAATTTTTCATAACTTTTTTGTTTTAATGAAATAATCAACATTTTTATTGGAGATTTTTATTTTGTATCTCTAACGCTCGAGACATGAATGAAATTGCAATTGTGTATGGAAATATTAAAGCTACCAATGATTTTTAAGATTTCCATGATTTTTAAGATTTAATGATTTTTTAATCGATATTATATTATAGAATATTTCCTAATTATATTAATAATTATATTAATAATATAATAATAATAATATATAATAATAATATATTAATAATTATATTATTAGGATATTTCCTAAACACGATTACCACGATTGTAAAATGTGAAAAGTGAAATTTTATTCGAAATATGATTTTAAGTAATAAGAATTCGGACAATCGTTTGTCAGCAGAAGGAAAACGAAAAATAAATTACCTTTTTAGACTGGACTTTACGATGAAAGCTGGCTTCCAAAGTGGGTCTGGACAGCTGCTGTTGGAGGACCGCGGCCAAGTCTAAGTGAGCTTCTGCATCCGATTGTACCTGGCGCAGTAAACTTTCCCAAACTCGGCGCATTCCTCCCGAATCGACTCTGGCCTCCCCGGATCGGCTACGAAATTCGTCGACCAGCCGACGAACGTTCACCGAATGGCTCTCCATCGCAGCGCCCAACTCTTGAGCGAATTCTGACACTGTGTTGGCAAGGAGAAAGTTCGTAATATATATATATAAAATTCAGAAAATAATATGTAGCATCAAAAAATGATATGTAAAAATTAGAATGAGTGATAATTTTTTAAAGTCGTGTAATTATTTTAATATCAATGATGATAAATATTCTAAATTAATTCTAATATGTGACTTTGGATGTTAACTTTTTAAAGTTATTTAATATTGAATATCAAAGTAATCCATGATATTGAATAATTACTTTCTAAAACCACCTAGATCTAATATTAGCAGTGATAATTAAATTAAATAATTAAAGTCAAATAATATTGATTGATTGATATCCAGTATTGTTTTTTTCAAAATCATTTAATTCCAAAGTAATCCTTCATATTGAATAGTAACTTTCTAAAGTCACCTAGATCTAATACTAGCAATGATATTAAATAATCAAAGTCAAATAATATTGATTGATTGAAATCCAGCATTGTTTTTTTTTTCAAAAATCCTTTAACTGTATGTATATTGAATAATAGTTTTTTAAAATCACTTAATACTAGCAGATCTAATACTAACAGTGATGTTAAATATGTTAAATGTTCAAAATTACATAATATTGTCTGATTAATATCCAACATTGTTTTCTTCAAAATCGTTCAATTCCAAAATAATCTTTGATATTCAATAGTAACTTTCCAAAACTATCTAATATCAACAATGATGTTAAATAATCAAAGTCACATAATATGTCACATAATGTCTGATTGATATCCAGCATTGTTTTTTTCAAAATCACTTAATTCCAAAGTAATCCTTGATATTCAATAGTAACTTTCCAAAACTATCTAATATCAACAATGATGTTAAATAATCAAAGTCACATAATATTGTCTGATTGACATCCAGCATTATCTTTTTCAAAAATCGTTCAACTATATATATTGAATAATAACTTTTCTAAAATCCTAGATCTAATACTAAGCAATGTTTAAATAATCAAAGTCACATAATATTGTCTGATTGATATCCAGCATTGTTTTTTTCAAAATCACTTAATTCCAAAGTAATCCTTGATATTCAATAGTAACTTTCCAAAACTATCTAATATCAACAATGATGTTAAATAATCAAAGTCACATAATATTGTCTGATTGACATCCAGCATTATCTTTTTCAAAAATCGTTCAACTATATATATTGAATAATAAATTTTCTAAAGTCACCTAGATCTAATACTAGCAATGATGTTTAAATAGTCAAAATCTGCTAACAATGACTGATTGATATCCAGCATTTCAAAAATCTTTTTCAACTATATATATTGAATAACAACTTTCTAAAGCCACCTAGATCTAATACTAGCAATGATGTTTAAATAGTCAAAATCTGCTAACAATGACTGATTGATATCCAGCATTTCAAAAATCTTTTTCAACTATATATATTGAATAACAACTTTCTAAAACCATCTAGATCCAATATAGATCCAGCATAATATTGATGCAACTATCAATCAGCATTGTCTTCTTCAAAATCGTTCAACTATAACATTGAATTCTAAAATAATCCTTGATACATTAAAATTGACTGATTGATATCTAGCATTATCCTTCTCAAAAATCTTTTTCAACTATATATATATATATATTGAATAACAACTTTCTAAAGCCAGCTAGATCCAATACCAGCATAATATTGATGCAAGTATTGATCATTATCTCTTTTTCCAATTAAAACGAGTTTCAAAACGAGCTAATTCAAAAGCTTGACATTAATTATTTCTAAAACAACTCCAATATCCACTTAAACTCGTCAAACAGTGGCATGTCTTCAAATTTGTCTCGACCCTATATATCAAATCCCCAAAGACGCATAGCCCCATCAGGCTAATTGACGCGTAATTGCCATTAATGGCTCGGTGGTTGATAGATCTCGTTAATTTTTAACCAGAAGAAGCGGTCTCTCGCATTAATGCACCGACCACTGACCATTACATCGTTACAATTAACGCTCTGATCGATTTATCTCCTCGATCTCCTCTCCCTTATACAATTGCTCCACTCCTGCGTTCCACCGGATATTTCCGGTGCACAATGCGCTTCGTGTCGCGCTTCAATCGTGGCGATTGTTTATTGATACAACGGGGATCGTCCATCCACCCACCGCGTCGAAATAATTCGAAGAGATCTCAACATCTCGCGCCACCACGTGTGCCTGACGTTACGCACCCTCTCTACTTGTTCGTTCTGCTTGCTTTTATTTAAACGCGTCGAACAGAGGACAGCCTCGATGGAACTCGTCGAAATATTTTAAACAACTCGTTTAAACGGCTCGATTGATCGGACGGCCATGTTATTTTCGAGCAGATTGAAACGTGAAAATTCTTTCTCAATTGTTTTATCTTTATATATTATATCGTTTATAAAATCTTTTTCAAATTATTGTTAATATATTGTTAATAATTATTTTTAATATATATTGTTAACCTTTTTCAAATTGTCGATAATCGATCGAATAAATGATATTAATTACACGAATTTTAGGGGATAGAGGAGCGCTCATTTGACAGCATCAGGTGTTGGAATAATAACATCGTTTTGCTAGCGATCTAATCTTTTTTAATTCATTTATGTCATTCAACTCGGGTGTTCGTCCATTTTATTTTATTCATATATGATTCAATAGATACAAGTTACGTTAAGAGAATCTTTCTTTTTCAAAGGTTATGAAAAATATCGTGGACAGCAATTTTTGACAGTTATTTTTCGTTAATTGTATATATCATTTAATTCCAAAGATATTGATTAATCTTTGATATTGAATAGTAACTTTTTAAAACCATCTAATATTAACAATGATGTTAAATAATCAAAGTCACGTAATATTGACTGATTGTTGTCCAGCATTGTTTTTTTTTTTTTTCAAAAATTCTTTAACTATATGTACATTGAATAATACCTTTTTAAAATCACTTAGATCTAATACTAACAGTGATGTTTAAATAATAAAAATTTGATAACAATTGATTGATTGATATCCAGCATTTCATTCTCGAGAATTTAATTCGAAATATAACTCTGATCATAATCTCTATCAATATTTTACGTTGAATTAATTTTTTTTTTCTTTTAAAAATTATAATGATATTTCTTCTGAGAAGAAATATCATTATTTCATTAATAAAGATTCATTATAAATATTCATTAATAAATTCAGAATAAATATTCAGATTTCATTAATAAATATTTCTCAACTTAAATATTTTCCCTTTGCGATGGAATTAAATGCAATAAAAAAAGGAACGAGATTATATAGGGATTATAAAATTATTATAACACGTAACCTGTTAATTCCGTTAACTCTGGATTAAGTCGGGCAATCCTGGCAATGAACCGACGATACGTTCGTATATTTCGATTACATCGTCACCGACGGATCGGTTTTATCGAGCGAGGAAAACATTAAGTGGCCATTTGTCAGTGTCTTCATCTGGCACGTGATAGCGAGCACAGGAAACGATTATACGTTTACCACCTGAAGAATTGATGTATATATATGGTTGATAGTATTAGGTTAATCCATCAGAAACCTTGTTGCAACGAATTCTCTCCAAAACTCTTCGATGTCAATAGATCTTTTTCCATCGTGCGACTGTTATCGACCGCGTTAAATTTTCCATCCGTGTGACGCCCGATATCGAATCGTTTCCAAGATTTAAAACTCGTTTCGTAATTATTTTGGATATAAATATACATATGTGTATATATATATATATATATATATTTGGTGAATTTTTATATTTTTTGTAAAAATATGTATACATGTATAACTAAATATTTACATACGCGCAATATAATCGATGCGGCGTGCACGGTTATATTTTATCACGGTCACATTTAGCACGGTGTATAAAACTGTTTCACGATACATTTTCGAATCCGAAAATAAAATTGTCGGATTGTCGGATGACGGACGAATTGCAACTTGGCCAAGGGGAATTGGCCAACGGTTTTCCACCTCTGACGTAAAATTGACGTAAAGTCAATTTTGAAATTTTTTTCCTTTTATTTTACCGACCGAAATCTCTTGGCTTTACCAACGGAGTGTTTTTAAAAGAAAATATCAATTTTTTTTTCTTTTTCGATTTTTATATCGAATCACTCACATTAATAAGTATTTTCGAATTTACATTACACTCTAGTCGAACGGTTTATTCCATTTTATTGATCGTAACGCAATTTTTGGATTAGAACGATTATTCGATTAAAGTATATTTATGTAAGTATAAGCGTGTTACGTTAGGCTAGGATTAGGCTTAGCTTGGACGTCGATTATCTTATGTCTATATTTCTTCAAAATACAATTTAACATCATTGGCGTAATATTCGTGTCAAACGTGGATAAAATTTCGATATATTATAAGGGATTATTCCTTCCTTTCTGGCCAAAATTAAACTTGAATTTAACTATATCTACAAACGTCAAGTTTCGTTTTAAAATACACTTTGCGTTTATTTTGTTTGTCACGTGTTTGTCAAAGAACATTCTTCCATTTTTTAAACGACTCTCGTTTACTTTAATTCGAGTTCAATTCTGACTAAATCAGTCATTCCATTTTATCTCCACATAATCACCTTCCTTTTTCCTATCGCTTTAATTCCCACCGCGAAGGGAGAATATTTGAGTTGACGAATGAATTTAATCAAATCTATTTACATTTATTTCGATTATCTCTGTCTCGCCAAAAACTACCATCGCGCAGAAGATACGATTAAATGAAATGGAAGCGCCCATTAATTATTGAAACTTACAACTTATTAATTCCCGCCTGAAAAATTATTTCCCCCTTAAATCGATGTCATCGTTTAACACTGTTCCTCCAAGTTCGTTCCCAAGCATTCCTTTAATTTACAAACTGTGCAACAATCGTTGAATCACGCGGGATTAGAGAAAAAAAGAGCGTCCCCCTGGCTCTAAAAATTCAATTATTACCATTGACACGTTTCGCTACGCGAGAAGGAGG